GATGCTTCATCTACCAGAGGTTTCAGGTGACCGATGAATATGCTGAGAAGGGGAAACGAATTAAATTTTATTGAGTATTCCGTCATCTTTGGTCATTGTCTATTTATGTAATCTAGCGTTTGACCAAAAGAATGATGATTTTAGGTGAGGCCCTTCTCGATATATCGAGGTACAAAGTTTTTGGGTTAGTGGTCAAAACCAGGACAACTATCGATAAATTGAAAAGAGTTTTAAATCTGCAATGTGTACCAACAATTTTTATCGACAGGTATTAAGTTTCAGCTATCTAACTCTCACAGGTGCAGAATGCGGTCACTTTAATGGAAAATCGAAGTGATCTGTTTTACGGAAAACAGAAAATTTTGTGTCTCAAAGTAAGCTCATTTCATGATTGTGCATTAAAAGTTACACCAGTACTATGAGTTACATGAAATAATCTGCTTCCATAATTGTACAAGAAGCGATCAAAGTTTAGACTTCGAACTCTATTTTTTCGAAAACTATTGGTCAGAGAAACTTTTGCATAGCACATACGGACTCAGTTTTCAAGCGCCTTCAAACTAACAGAACCTAAACTTGGAAGAAATTCATTATTACCCGTTTTTGCCCTTTTCTCTTTCAGTATTTGTGTAAATTTGTGCATAAATGCAACAATTGTGTTTATTGTGTCTTTTTAGTAACAACCTTAACATCCCAATCATTGAAACTCAATGCAACGCGAAAATCAACTTGATTTTAAACTTTATTCTAATTATACTACTGAATACTTTATTGGAATTAATATAATTTCGTTACCCTTAGCCTGGGCTACAATCGAACGCTCTTTTAAACTTATCCAAAGAGCAAAAAGAAACATTAGTAAACTATTTTATTGAAATTAATAGAAAATTGGTAGCTCATTTCTTCTAACTTTTCTTGTCGTCATTTATTACAAATTATTACAATTTATTATAAATCAAGCCACAAATCAAATCAAACAATAAAATCAGAATAAATAGCATTTAACTGGTTTTATCATGAACATGCAAGTAAAAACGACGCTTCTACGACAAGACCATTGATGGCTGCTGTAATGTTTTACTCAATTTCAAAGCAATGGAATCTTGATTTAGCATATTATGGTCAACGAGGAGTAGGTCAAAGCGAGTGTTTTCCCTCTTGATTAATAATTGTGTCTCCAAGATCAAAAAGACCATCATGACGATGACCAGATCCTTCACTTACAGCTACGGCACATGAATTCTCCATTGTCACTGATACTTCGCCATTGTGATTTTCACCATTAGATGAATGCATATGAAGATCATTTTGCTTCTTTCAAAGTATGGTTTGATGCATAACATCAAGGAATATACAGAATGAGAGTACGTGAAGTCCTGTTTTAGGCAATTTTGTTGCTTTCTATCACGATCCGAAAATGTTCAATGAATATATCATTATGAATGAAACCAGTATATATTGAGAAGAGACCCATCAACAGAATCAAATATCGTCCACCAAATAATGTTTTGAGTATTTCGTTGCACTTAGCTGGACTGCAATCGATTGCTCTTTTGAACTCATCCAAAGAGCAAAGAGGAACATTAGTAAACCATGGCCAGCATCTCTAAACATTCATTGAGAATGGACGGTACAGATGATCCACTCCTTTCTGTACCTCGTCTCAATGCCATATGGATTCGCTCTAAATCATCCACTGAACACCAACAATTAGCAATCAAACATTTTCTTGTTAGATCAAGATTAAACATATTTAAAGTTAAATAAATAGCTCCCATCTTTATGATTTTGAAATCTAATTGCAAATATCGGTTTGAAAATTAGACAATGAAAAGAGCAAAACTTTTGAGTTTGGACTAAGAGTGGAGATTTGTTCAGTTTGGAAGCATAAGGCAACTGAATCCATTTGTGCAATTGAATACTAAGGATTATTATCAAAAAATATAATAACTTTCGATTCAAGGGTTGTGGCTTTGATATTTCGAGAATAGCAGTACATGCAACCATCATTCTTCGGCCAAAACTGCAGAAAATCAGATTCGATTCAGCTAATAAGGAATATCTTCCTAACAAATCATAAGATTTGTGTTTTAGTATTAACTTTATAAAGCAATCATAAAATCTGGTGACATAAATATAAAACTACATAACTTTTTTGTAGAATCTTGAATTATCTAAAATTTCAATGTATTATAGCCCATAATAACACATAATTATTGGCCAAAGAATGATGGTTGTAGTTGCTACTATTCTCGATATATTGATGTACAAAGTTTTTAGGTTAGTGGTCAAAATCAAGAGAACTATCGATAAATTGAAAAGAGTTTTAAATCGTTGAAGTGTACCAACAATTTTTATCGACAGATATTAAGTTTCAGCTATCTAACTCTCACGGGTACAGAATGCGGTCACTTTAACGGAAAAGCGAAGCTCTCTGTTTTACAGAAAACAGAAAATTGTATTTCTCGAAACAAGTGCATTTCATGAATAATCATCAAAAGTTACATCCTTAAAATGAGTTTCATGAAAAAATATGACTGCATCATTGTACAAATGCGATCGAAGTTTGACCTCGATTTTCTCGAAAACTGTCGATCCTGAAAATTTTCGATAGCGCTAAAGGACTCAGTTTTGATGTGTTTACGAAGCCATAAAGTCACAACTCTTAACTCGAAAGTTAAATTGTTTGAAAATACTCCTTTATTGTTATTGCTGCAATCATAGTCTTCAGATGTTTTTCAGAAGTTGTTAGAGCATGAAGTGTTACGTTCATTTTCATATTTAAATATTGCATTAGATATTTTTATAATCGTGTAATAAGGTGTTTTATTGTCATTTCTTGTCAGGCTACATTTAATAAGTTTATCTAATTGTATCATTTATATTACATTACATTAAATAATAATGCATCACAATTGCATGAAATTGGGTTATTGATTTAAATAGCGCGCTTTTTATTCTCCATTTATGTTGTCTTGGTAAAGACAAACTTTAACTTGAATCGTGTTTATAGTGATGGTTTAAATTGCAATCTTTATTAAATTGTTAATCCTTTCGCTAGTTCATCTTTATTTTCTTTGAATACATTTTTACTTTCAGCTAATGCTAGTGTCTTTTTTATTATGTGGAAAGATTGTATATTGATTCTTTTTATATCTATCTTCACTGCACTCCTTGGTGAAGGTAAGTGATTTTTTGTAAACTAGGCTACCAATAATTAGATGATTTGCTTTATTCTCATGATTTTTTGTTAATTTTTGTAACATTTTTAACAGCTCTTACATGGCTCATGGTGTATAGAACTGATAAGTTCAAGAAATTGAAAGCAGAAGTGGAAAGACAATGTAAAAGATGTAAGTTAACGGCTTTCTAAACCTGATTTGACACCATTTCTCGGTTATGTTGCATATTCACTATTTGATTTGTGTTATTAATTTCTCATCATGTAGTAGAAAAGAAAAAAGAAGTCATCGGAGAACCCACCGATAAACAACAGAAGAAAAAATTGGAACGTGAAGAGGAAAAACTCAAGAACCACAACCGAGATCTTTCATTAGTTAAAATGAAATCAATGTTTGCTATTGGTTTAGCCTTCACTGCTCTTTTAAGCATGTTTAATTCGATGTAAGTTTTGATTTCTCCTTATTTGTCAAAAAAATATCAAATTTGTATCATATTTTATCTTTTTCAGTTTCGATGGACGTATAGTCGCTAAATTGCCGTTTGTACCAATCTCATTGGTGCAGGGACTATCTCACCGAAATATTTCGGGCAATGATTATACTGATTGTTCTTTCATCTTTTTGTACATCTTATGTACTATGTCCATTAGACAAGTGAGTATTAAAATTCCATGTAAAAACGACAATACAAAATCATCTAAACATATTCTATTAATTTCACAGAATATTCAAAAGATTTTAGGATTTGCTCCATCCAGAGCAGCAAGCAAACAAACAGCTAATATTTTTGGTCCTGTTAATACAACTCGTTGATTTGGAGGAAAAAAAACAAAGTAGATATGCAACCAATTGCTATAAATTATATATAATAAATTATTTACACTTTTTGAACAACTTGTCAGTAATGTTAATTTCTTGTAACTAGCAAATGAGATTGAAGTGCCATGTTTGATTCAGATCTTGAACCACTAATGCTAATTTTTGCCACATTTGCTAATACAAAAATTTAAAGTACCAGGTCTTCGTAAATTCTTTCGCCTTGAAACATTCTTTCCCATGCAAAACCAAATAGATTGTAGCCTAATTTTTCAGGATAATATCCTCTCAATTGATAGTGTACCATAGCTCGACCAACGGCTGGAGCCATTTGGATTCCATGGGAGCCGAAACCACAGGCCCAAATGATATTATTATAGTACGGATGACTGCCAATTATTGGATTGTTATCGTAAATATTCTCATCACAATAACCTGCCCAGGCAGCGACAATTTTAACTTTTTGGAAACCTTTGACTCTTCGAGCTAGAACGGGATAAATAGCCTTTTCAAAGAAACTGTAATCCACGTCCAAATTACCTGGATCTGGTTCTTCTTCCTGTTAAAGCAAAAGAAAGTTGTATAAAATTTTCATGACCACTAGATGAAAATTTCAAGAATGTTCTACCTTTGTTGGGTATTTTGTCACTATAAAGTTTCCACCCAAGCCATCTCTCCTACATACAACGCCGCTAGGATCAACTAAGATTGGAAAATCTAGAATTGGAGCATCCGGAGCATTGAAAACAAATACATATCTTTTCCTGTCAAAGCGAAGAATATAAAAGCAATAATTTAAATTTTTATAAAGTTTAAACGATTATCTCACACATACCTTGGCACAACAGGTAAAGGAATCCGTCTTAGTCCTGGCTCTATTCCAATTCCTAATGCTTCAGCAAGAACCCTTGATTCAGCTCCACAGCAAACGATACAACGAGAAAAATTTATTTGGGCTATTTCATCATTTGGAAAACGTAAAAGTGCATGGTGACATATTTCCGTTGGATTTCCCAATTCATCGCGATGAGGTGAAGAAGGTAATGCAAGACTAGTATTGAAATCAAAAACTTCGGCTTCTACAAAATGAGCCCCAAGAAACTCTGTTTTACCCTTAAGCGAAACTAAAAGTGGAAACGGATCAATCCACCCTTCATCTTGTAAACCTAATGTTGCAAAAACTATTCCTTCAGCATTTAACCAAGGAAACCTTTTTTTCAAATCGTCCGGCGATAATATATCAATATAAGCTCCACATTCGGTTTGTGTCTGATGATATTTCAAGAAACTTTCAGCTCTCTCCGGTTCTACCAAAAACATATATCCTTGAGGGTGAAAGTTCAAATCGGGAGGCTCTTTATCTATAATGCTTAGATGATCCTTTGATTGTCTATAAAAATCTGCACCTATAGCGGCCATTTTAATATTAGTAGGATGCGAAAACTGTTGTCTAATGCAACCTAAAGACAAGTTGGAAGCAGCATGTGTATACTAAACAAAAAAAATGTTACAAATGAGTAAATCAGAATAGAATCGATGATAAAAAGATCGAAGCCAATTGATGCAAAAATACTTACATTAAAATCTCTATCAACAACTACAACTCTAAGATCACCCATAGCTTGTTTGATGAAATATGCTATAGATAAGCCAATTACTCCTCCACCGATGATTAAAAAATCGGTAGATTCTGGGTAATCAACTAAAGGCTTTTTAAAAGCTTCATGAATTGATTTTGTCCAATCTTTGCGACCATCTGATACTATTGCAGAGGGGATTTTAGAGTCAGATAGTGAATGAAATATTGGATAGCGAAATACATAATCTGCATTAGGAAAATGAATTGCTGTATCAGGATTTGCTGGCTGGGCTACAATTTCACGAAGCCTGGCAATTCGAGCATCACGATCAGCTTCATCCCAACGAGGTTTTTCATCTATTTTCAAAGAAGAAGTGTCTATATTCGGCTCTTGGTCGGCTTTTGCATCTTCATTAGCATCTTTATCGGAGTTAGTATCACTGCTTTTAAAGTTTGTTTCTCTGGAGCTTCCATTATTAGGTCCAGTGGCACAGAAACCTCTTAATGATACATTATACAATTGGCCAACATAGTTGAAGCACTTTTTTACTTTAACGTTTCGAACCAATCCAGATGACATTTAAATAAAATTAATTAGTTTAAAACACTAAGAAAACCGATAAAGCAAATAATAAGAAAAACAAAACCACGAGTAGGAAATCAGCTGTTTGCAGTCACATGACTAGCAAATGTAAATGTTTTGGTCTTTAAATATTGTAAATAAAACTTTGAGTTAACAACACAGATTTCTGAATCAAGAGGATATTTTCCTAATTTGTTAGTAAAATTACTTTTGAGATTTTAAGTTTATTTAAAAAAGATATTTATAATTAAGGTAAGATCACAATCAAGAAAAAAGATATTTGTGATTAGAATCATGTACATTTCAAGAACCACAGCAAGAATCCGTATATTGAAATAAGCTAAATGGGACGGACTTAGAGTAAATAATGGCACATTTATTGATTATCTTTGAGAATTTGCAGTTTGATTGAGTAGATTCCAAATCGAGCTAGCTGATTGTATCAGCCTAAAGAAAGGCAATTTCCCCGCAAGAATTTGAAGCAAAAGTGTGACAATTGTTCGTACATATCTTTGAAGGTTGGCCGTAGAGACAGTTTCTTGTGTTTGCTGGTTGTTTATTTTGTTCATCATAAATGAAACTACACTATCAACAATCTCATCTGAAAATTGTCGAGAGGAATTTCTATTTTCTGATAAATTCACTGGAATATCAATTTCTCCGTTGGTTTGAACAAGTGTTGAATTAGCATCGGAAGATTCACGAGATGTGGACGGAACAGATGATAGCTCGATGATAGTGGTTTTTGAATTTTGCAATTCACCTGACTTGGTCAACCTGGCGATTGTCCTCCGAGCTTCTATACTCAAACCAGCATCTCTCATCACTTCAACAGGCAAAATTTTTAGATGCTCTATCTTGTTGACACCAACATTGAGTAGTCTTTCAATGTCCTCCTCGTGCACTCTTGACCGGCGTAATTTAATCAACCATTGGGGAGCACCTATTTGCTTGCAATCACTGACAGTCAATTGTTGAACATTAAATGATAAGACTTCACCCACAGAAGCTCTCAAACTGTTAGTCAGAATAATTGGTAGCCAGGCAGCTTTCAACTCCTTTGATCCACAAACTCGTTTTCCATGTTTAGACAGCAAACTATTAATCTGATCAAGACTGGCATCAGGTAAAAGAACAGTATCACTCATAATTGTAGTTAGTGAGAAATAAACAGTAAAACAAAACAAAAAAATGAAAAATCTAAGAAAAATGGAAAAAAATAAGCTGAGTTTATCAAAAACTAAAGTAAAGTGGTTTAAGTCTTGTACGGTCAACAAGTGGCGCTTTACCTAGTGGAATCTAAAACGTTAAAATACAAAAGTCAACAGTGACACCAAACGAATCTAAATTAAATTAAACTCTATGGCTTTACTTAAATCAGTAACTACTAATTAACCAAACTAGCAACTTTTTAAATTAGTAAAATTATTCTTGTTCTCTCTCTCTCCTAAACTTGCTATCATCTAGCAAACAAGTGAAAATTAAAAGTAAACACCAACAAAATTTTCCAGTCTAGCCAATTAATTAAGCTCAACCAATTGTTGACTTAACAAATCTATTTAAATTGAATTTTTGCCAATTTACTTAGACCGTCAGATTATTATCGCTTGAAAACAATTCAGGCATCACCAGGCAAAAACAAATCAATACACTTAACCACTGAAAAAAGCGGAAAAATCATTTACCGTTTAAACTTGCAATGAAATACTAGACTAATGTTTCACTAGACGGAACACTAATCAACTATATAATAGCTGCTTAATTATGCACCTTTTACTCTCGCTAATCAATTAATCCATTGAAATTGAGCAAAAAAACGAGTTGGAGGTTGAATCTCAAGTAGATTAACATTATCAACAATCAAATTGAGATGAAACTACAATTTGAAAATGAGGCCAATTTTTTTTCTCAAAGCTAAAATAAACTCAATCGCCATATCCAGTTGTAAATCACAATCGCCATTTATTCATTTTTGTTCAATTTGTTTCCTAATAAACATATTAATACATAACATGATAATCAAACAGAAATGATAAAAGGTGAAAATGATTGTTAAGGTAAAAAAAAGATTACCTAAAATGTTAGTCTTAATGGTAAACATAGAGCGAGAGTGAGATAGATGAAGAGTAAGGAAACAATCCTCTACTTGATGATCCTCTTTTCATATTTGATAACCTTAATTTAATCATTCATGTATTCACATAATTTGTTTATTGTTATATTACAATCGATAATCGAACAGTTAAACTCACAGTTAATTGTTTATGACCTCGACTCTTCAATTTTACGATTAACTCTTTCTCTTCTTCTCATTTTTTTTCTTCACCCGACTTACAACTTGACAATCAATCACTCGATGGGATACCTTGTACTTTTTTTGTTGCCAACAATTTAAATAACTCATTTACAATTTACCACTTTTACTGGTCAACCCATTGGATTGATTCATTCATTATCATAATAATCACCGAAAGAGAAGTCAAAATGACCTGATATCAAATTACATACTTACAATGAATACAATTTTCAAACATTGAATCAATTTGAATTAAATAATCATTATATGTCATTTTTTTATTTGAGTTTTGTTTCGTTGTTGAGGTTGATGAAAATTCAAACTGGATTCTCATCAAGTGTGAGTGTAATCAGGAAAAAAAATGTAGATTATATTTACAGTATAAGCTTAATCAACAGTAAAATTGTCTCAATGATGAAAAGTGAGAGTGAATTACAATTAAAACGATATTTTCCACAAAAAGCAACAATAATAACGATAAAATGCTGGCTTTTCATTTGTCCAGTGTCAAGGGTTTGCTTTGAAAATTAATTTATCCTTTGCTTTCTGAATCAATCTTGTCCAGTTATTGTCATCAATTTAGCTTTACGTGTCCAGTCAATTTACGATTAAACTTGTCCAATCATGTAAAGCAAATGTGAGAGGATGAAGATGAAAATTAACGCAAAAATAGAGTGGCGATGTGATTGATGAGGCAAATTTAGAAATATAATAATAAATTCATGATAATGATAAAGGCTATTATTGACGATGATAATATCGCAACACTTTAAATGTTGGAAATTAAAATGGCGAATTATATCAAGAAATGGCAATTTGATTGGGTTACTGATTCAGCTGTTCACTTGTTTCCTCCATATTTCCTATTCTCATTTGACCAATCATGTAATACATCTTCATTACCCTCACTACCGTTATTATCATTATCAAATTGTTGGAAAATAATTTCATTTTAATTGTTTAGATATCCATCTTTAGCTTTTGTCTCTTAAGGATGATAGTTATTAGGTATTTCAGCTCCAGGATAATTTGAATCACGCCATGCTCTTAAATCAGGAGCTGTTAGAGTATTACATGGAACAACTGGATTTCTGTTGACAAGAAAAGGAAACAAAATTAATCAGTGAATTTAAATTTACAATCATGATATGAAATGGAAATTGTTTTAAGGGGGAAAAAAGAGAAACAATAAAACTCTTGTTAACGGATGAAGAGCGTTTCACAGCATTTAGCTAAATTGATTGAAATTAACATCAACAATCAATAAATTGAAATAACAAGAAAAGCTGAGCGAAACCATTAAGATGTTTAGTCTGTTTCCGTAACAAAAGCACATTAACAATTCAAGATTTTATCGACAAACCAATTGGTTAATTTGATTCAATCTACTTTGATTTTTCAACTTTCTCGCCTCTTCTAGCCACTTGCAGTTAAAATAATTTTAATAGTCGTAAAGATGATAATAATAATGATAATAATAAATTTCCTTGCTAATCTCCATATTGAGAAAACTCATTTTCGACTATGATTGTTGTTGATTCATGTTAATGGTTTGCCAGCTTTACTTATTTAAAGAAATTCAATTCACTTTTAAACTCTAATCAAGTTGTGATTTTTTCTTCTTCTTCTTAATCATCATCATCATCGTCCTCATAATCAACAAAAAATCAGCAACATATAAACACGTTTCTCTTATGTGAAATTTATAAGCGTGAGACATGAATGCGTGCAAAATACATATAACTCCAGCTCGTGGCTATAAATTGTCGGTATTTTTAAGCATCAAATTAACCCATTCGGCTAAGCTTCTGAATTTTCCTATTGTAGCTAGTTTTTGGAATATGGCAGTTGAAGGTAAAAGGGTTTTAAATTGCAATTGCAAGTGTCTTTTGGATTCCATCCTTACCTCTTTGATTCACCTCGGAATACATTTTTCTGGATGAAACTCAATTTGTCACTATTGGCACATAAAATCTGGGCAAATGTTGTTTTCCTTATTTCTTGAAGTTGATCTGTAAAAATGAAAAAGAGTAAATTAATTCAATTGAAAAGTGTTAAAATTAGGTACAAACACAATTTGGTTAGTTGGATCAAGGGCAAACAATTTAGATTAAACTTGGTTGATTTTGAAGAAACAAAAGCAAATCCTTTCATTTTCTGGTTAGACTATTGGCTTATTTACTGGTAATCAATTAGTTTGATTGATTGATTGGTTTTGATTGATGTGCAGATAAATATAAAAATAATGGTTGTCTGAAGAGCAATTTAATGAAAGCAACAATAATAGATTGAAAGTAACAGCAACAATTTAATTTATACAAAAATTGAGGTTCAACTAAAGATGAAGGGTTGAATGGTCAAGATTAGACCTTTTTTCAATAAAAATTACCCATTCTTGGCCAAAATGATTGATCCAGAAAAAATAAGAGTGATATTAAGTATTATGGAAATCTTCAAATCTATTTACGCTGTTGTTTCACCTAAACATCTTAGCTTGTCAATAATACATGTAAATATTAACTTGTTAGCTACAAAGAAACTTTCATTGATTAAATTATCCATCATTCATTCGGTTCCAAAATCAATTCATCTGGTTGATATTATTTTATTAAATGTTACACAACAAGGTCAATCAACTATCAGCATTACCAACCAGGTATTCAGGTATTCAACAATAATAACATGATTGCGTTAAATTTGATGGTATAGAGGACAATATGGTCCTTTAATACCTTTAGATTGTCTGGAATCAATTTTCACAGTTACCTTTCAGGGTAAGAGTAGAAATATCTTGTTGAAAAAAGTAGAATAAAGGGTAAAAATAAGCTTAATATGATGTTGATCATCATCATTATCTAATTTTCCTTACGATTATTTAGCTATTAAATTAGATGGGTAAATCTTGCGTTAGGGAAAAAGGAGTTGACGGTATAAAGGTAAAGTAAATCAAATTAAATTGAGAGGAGTTTGCAATTGGAAACATTGATACTTATTCTGAGGTTGAAAAGACAAAAAAAGTAAATTGTTTTTGTAAACATTTTGATGGTTGGAAAAAAAGAAGTTATAATTACCTGGAGAAAATGTTCCGGCTTGGTCACGATGTTCAAACCAAAAACGATCACCAAATTTAAGATTGTACATTTGAATACCAATGATGCAAGTAAATGTTGGTCCAACAGCAGCTCCAGGTAAAGGATATTCAGCTAAACCAGCTGAAAATAAATCAACATCATGAACCGATCTGGATAAAGAAAGAATAAAAAATTTGTTAAAAAATGAAAAACAACTGTCAATAAATTAACTATTCATTTGTGTGATGAAGTGAGAGCATTACTTGTAAAGGTTTTGGAATTTAGTTCGTTGAGAGGTTGGCATGTATTGATCCAATTGGGCCCAATCATAGATTTTTTCATCAAAACAGAACTTAAGATAATCAGTGTAACCAGATAAACCATGATCTCGACCTCTTTGAATGTTAAATGCTGGTAAATCAAGTCCATAGGGTGAGTCTTTGGGTCGGTACAGATGATTTTTCATATCTTGTGATATAAATGGATCTCTATTTTGTGAAGCTTGGGAAACTAAACCTCTAATTACTGCATCTAATTGTCCATGATAGAATCCGAAAGGAGTGAAGAAATTTTCTCTTAAACGATAACCTGAAGGTTTACCATCGTCCAATATTTCAGCGAAAACACTGTTAACAAGTGAATGACCAAATCTGAAGGCTGCACCAGCAAATTCATTGATTACATTTGGATTAGTGTAAGGATCATAATCAGTATAACCGTAAGGAAGAACATAGAGTTTCAGGAATTTCATTGCATCAGGACCAATGATAATTGGAAGCCATTCTCCGTAGGTTACCATTTGAATTTGAGCGACATTAATACGTCTAATTTTAAAAGAGAAACAAAATCAAGCTGTAAGATGATTTTGAAGTTAAAGGAAAATTCAACGCCAAAAACAAGCATAAAACAATGAAGATGATAATTTTTTTGGGTTGATTGAAAAGTAATAATAAACAAAACAAAAACAATACAGTTGATGGATGATGAAAATGGTGATCAATGGGAAAATTAGGTTACATTAAATGTATTAAATCAAATCAATCTTATTCTAAATGTTTTACTTTTTCCTTAATCATTTTCATGAATTTACCACTTTCTTATTTTTTTCTTGTTCTTCTTTATCATCATCTTTTCATATTCAACATTCATAATAATCAATTCAATGTAATTGCGTTGGAGGTGAGAATTTGATTATTGTTTTCATTTTCTTTTTTTTCATGGCTTTGTTTTGTTTTTGTTTTTGAACTTATCGATGTTAGCTTAATTTTTCATCATTAATCCAAAATCGAAATCATCTTTAATTAATGTGATTTACCTTGCTTCCTGGTAAAGTCTCTCACCATCCCAATGTGGGTTGATTGCTTTTAATTCATTGACAATCTTATTATGTTGACGAAGGAAGACAACGTGAAGTGCTGTTAAAGCTGGATGCTGATTCACCCTTTTGTCACCTGAAACAAGGGAATAAATAAGAGTTGTTGGTTAAATTAGCTTGGGTGGATCTAAATTTATGTATTAGCTAAAAAATTGATTTTGAAATGCTTTTGATTGTATTTACCTGCTTTGAAACAGTACATATTCTCTGAAGGTTTACTACATTGATCCGAATCAGGTTCTGGTGAGTGTGGTAATAGTTCACCTCCATTAGCAGCCATTGAAATGTGCATTCTTCCAGCTATAGAAAGTAATAGTAAACAAATAATTAAGATTTTGGTTTTGGTGTCGAGATAAAGATCATTCAAAAATTTCTAACCTGGCCCAGTTCTCGTCCAAAGGGATCTTGTTTCATTCTCCATACTTCCATAGACCATTGATCCATCAATGTACGATGTTATCTGATTCATTTGTTCTCTTGGTCCTGTTTTATCAAATAGCAATAGATTGTGTTAAAATTTTGTCTTGAAATAATTTGGAACATTCAATGATGATTGTAACTTACCTAATTTACATTGTGGACACATGGCGGTTCGAACAAAGTTAAGACAGTATTCGTTGTATCCACTGTAAAATGGATCTTCTTTTGGCACCAAAATGGGGTAACATTGAGGATGATTATTGGGTGATGGTGGACAACATTGAATCATTTTACCGTCCTCTGTAGAAAAAGTCAAAATAAATCAATGGTCAATTGATATCCACTAGTCACTATTAATGAATACCCAGTCGATCGAAACTTACTTGTCCTAGAACTTGGAGTAAAGGCGACATCGTGTGAAAAAAATTGACCATATTGCATAGTCATATGAGTATAAGTGGCAGGATAATTTAAATCACGATGGAGTACAGCTGAAAGAACTCTAGGATTAGGTAAAGAACTACCGGTAACAGAGATACGAGGAGCTGATAAACCATCAGCATAAGCTGGTGGAAGTAATCTAGTAAAACAACTGAACGATGTTCCCCAACCAGGGTTGTGAAGATTATTACATGAACCATCTGAATTTCTGTAAGGCTTGTAAGGATCACAATGGTAATGTTGATCCTCTTTACAATTGGCAACTGCTTGGCGAGTTTCTGGTGCAACTAATTCAATTCTAGCCAAAGCAATACCTGTAGCTGAGGGTAAGATTGGGTCATGAGACATACTGAAAAGATAAGTAGAGACAGAATAAAAGAAGAAATTAAATTGTAATCCATTCATTTTCTACAATAATCAGCATTATTTATACTCACTTGCGAGCCAAAAGTTTACTCATCTCTTCAAATACTTCTTGACGCTTCTCTAAATCATTTCCTCGTTCTAATGTTGTAGTAACGGCTTGATGTCGAGTAACAGCAGTTTCCTTACTCATATCAGTTACTAAACCTGTAAAACGGATAGAAGCAAAAATCACGGTTAGTTAAATGAAAACTGAACAAAAGCATGCAAGGTTAATGAAATTTACCCAATCTACAATCATTAATATAAATTGTCCTTTAAACTCTCAATTTTATCCTCATTTGAACACAAAATTGAAATCAATATAAACTTTTCCATTTCAATTGAATATCATAACAATCGGAAGCTATCAAACCGATAGTATCGGTATAATGTAAACAGTTAAGCTTGAAAGCAGACAAACTTGAATTTGTCTAAAAATTTCATTTAAAGAGTTGATTGACTGAATGAATTGGTTTTTTTTCAATAATGTTGAGAAATAGCAATAGTCAATAGAAATTGTTGAATTACTTGAAATATTAAGTAGTATTTAATAGACCTGAAAGTTGAATAAAATTGATGAAGATGTTGGTAATGATGAAGAGAAATAATATCGGGTGAAAATAAAATCGAGGCCAAATTTGTTGTTGATGCAATGTTGTTTAATTTGTTTATTTGTTTGTTTGGAAATTAAAAATAACATGCAAGCAATAAAAGGAACGAGAGGGGTTAAATTCAATTGAATGACCGTCATCATTACCCTCTTGACCATTCATCTAATCAACAGGTTACGTTAAATAACAAATAAACAAACATATACCGATAAGTACACACATAATAAAAAAATAATCAGAATATAAATATAATAATAACATCATAATATCTATATGTACATAACAATACCTAATAATAGATTTAAGATTAAATTTTAACACAAGTGAATCAAAAAAAAGATGATTGAGACAAGTTTAAATTTGCCTCCTTTCTGACTATCCTGCTTTGACTATTATTAATACGTCTGATGAAAGCGACAATCAGACGAGTCGTATTTTTTTTATAGCCAACAAGTCGTTCTTCACACTCCTTGTCTTTTGATTGTTAACAAAATGTTTATCAAGGCTGATAGGGTCAAGTTTAAGTTTGACCGATCAATTATTGAATTGGCCAACTAACCACATACATCTCAATCATTATTGGCAATGTATTGGTGTAACATCTTCTGGTCTAATGAATCTATATCATTTCAAACTGTGCCCTTGATTATTCAAATGTAAGTCAACTAATTTTAACAATGTCCAACAATAATCATTTCAACTATTTGCTGATATATTAGCTTTCTAATCACTAATTTATTTTTCAACAATTACAGGTAATCGTTCTCAACAGATGGTTCAAGCAATGTTGTAGAGGAAACACACAAGTATCAAATTCTCAACCATCTTTATAACAATGTATGTGTTTATTTTTAATATCATATTTAATGTGATTTAGCTAATCGAATTACTAACTTTCTATTCTGAGAAGATTACTCTTCTTGCACTCATTATGATTATTGTAATTTACATCACTTACAATCGGCTTGAATAACAAACGAGCCAATCTAAAGTTTCATTTTAAACAGTTGAATTTTAATGTCTTTTTTTTTGTTTTGCTGTTGCTCTTTTTTTTCTTTACTCTAGAATCTTCTTTTCGATGAGAACTGACCGTTTAAATAAACAATAAATAACCAAATGAAATAGATGGCAAGTTTTATATTAAGACTGACCAATGAACTTTAATCCGAATCTTATGGGAAGATCGAGGATACTGCAAAAATAAACAAACCGTACTGTAACTTATCTGGCAGATGAAAAAAAGTATACACATAAAGCATTTATAAACCAAGTAATCAGGAAACAATGATGTGGAAAAGACACTAAGATGGAGAGACTAAAAAGAGAGTAAGACAAGAAAAATTACATCCCCACGCATCATCATTATCATCATCATTCTCATTATTGTTATTATCATGATGATCATCATTACATTGAACAAATAGGTAGACATGATGATAATGATGATGGTCCAGCTCATTTCTTCGGCTTATCACAGTTGAATAGGGTCACAATTTCGGTTAAAGAATTGTTAACAGTGGTTCCTCTCAATTTAGGACTAATTATTAGGGGGCCATTAACAATTGTAATTACCTGACAAAGATAACTTATAATTATTCAATTAGATAACAAACTAGTTACATAAAAAAGTTCTAATCTAATGTTTAATATCATCTTTTCCAGACTGCTTAATATCACAATGATGCTCAGTCCACTCACGTAGGTCAATCTCAAATCAACCAATTTTGAGTAAAGTGAGAAATTGACGGAAAAATTGGATCAAATTGAGGATTCAACTAACCAAAAACCAGGCTGTGAAGTGAAAAGCTACAATCGAGACATGAGTAACAATCATTACGGTGAAAGTAGCAGATATAATTCAGGAGAAACCTTTTGATCAATTGAAACGTATTTTTGGTGTAAAGCTTTTGGTTTTGATCTTGACGAGGTGCGATCAAAGATATCAATTATGATCATCAAAATTGTTTATCAGTTTCATCTGTTATAAAAGTGTTAAAAGTGATTCTTCATGAAACATATCAAAGGTGATCATCATGATTCGTCATACCTTTTTTGCTTGTTGTAATACATCATGTTGATAAAGGAAGAGCAAATGATAATAATAATAATGATGAATCAAAAATAAACATTTAATATGAGATGAAAGGAAAAATAAGTTGAAAATGATGATGATGAAAGTAAGTATATATGGCCTACTGTGATACATCTGAAGAAATCAGTTTTTCAGGTCAATCGGTAGTTGGTAAAATGAATAACAAGGCGTCAATAATTAAGCTTCAAAAAGTATTAACAGATTGTAATATTAAAGTCGAGACAAGTTAAAAATCGCCTGAAGATCGAAATCCTTTGAAAGGGAAAATGTTTCTAATGAATTGAATAATCAGTGATATATTGACAGTTGTGCCATCAGAAAAGAGTTGAGTTACAATTAAATTTAAAATATAACACTTGATAAGAGAGCAACAGGAAAACTGACCTTTACTCTTCCCCTTTTAATGGCGACAAAAATTTTGATTAAATTTTTTTCCTAATTATTATTAGTATAAGTTGAGTGAAGTGCAGGAACTTTCAAAGTTTAACTCAATTTTTTGGTTACACTTTTAAATTTTTACTTAACCCATTCATTGCCCACAATGAAACAGTAACAAGAAAAAAAACGAAATTATTAATTTAAGATTAAAATTCAGCCTTAATTTGATTTTTTTGATTTTTTCATCATCATCTTCTGATTCTTCGATATTAATATCCATTTCATATTAAATGTTTACAGTTTGATTGCAAATAAATTATTCAATTCAATTTGAGTTTTTGATTTTGCGTTTTGTTTTTGTTTTTTTACAACTATTTTTATTACTCTTTTGCTTTTCATTGCATTCGTAATTTTAAAATTCAGTTATTATTAGATGATTCAATTTGAAACCAATTAATGTCAATGTTCATTGGTAAATCGAATCATCTTTTAGATTGTAATTTTGCTGTTTGTGTTGTCAACAAATGGCTGATTGGTTAATTAGAAGATGAAAGAAGCTCTTTAAGATTAACTAATACCTGTGTTATTGAGTTAGTAGTTACGATTAAGATGCAACTCTGATTGACTGTCTAAGGTCAATAGTTGGTGGTGTTGAGGATGATACTTGAAGCATGATTTATGCCAATGTTGAAGGTTTTCTTGATAAACTTGTAAAACTCTGCAAGTGACTTTGATTTTCATCTTCTAATTAATCATCGAATGGATCAAAATGAATCACAATCAGCAACTCGATTGATTGACAATTGTGGTTCAAGAGAAACAAAGATTCAAATGAGTGAAATTTTGAAATTTTTAGGAGGACATTTTATACCAATGATAAAGGTTAACGATATTAAATTGAATTTAATCTAATTTTGATTTCTTACCATCTCTTTCAAGGTTGGCTTCAAGTTTACGTCTTTGAACAACAATATCTTTGGCAAGATGAAAGGTATCATCAAGCTGAAGTGAACTGAAAACTGGCGATAAAATGGAAGCATCAGCATCTTCTGGAGCTAATCTTCGTGGAAGTAATATTCCGCTCGATAAATTGAGAGTCAATAGGTTAATCAATATAAAACTTGTTAATATTTGGTGCGACATGGTGATAAGATTGTCCCTGGTGAAACAATCAAAGATACACACAAATTACACAACCACAAAATGGCAACAATGCTGGTGACAACAAAGGTTGTAAAGATTGGTACAAAGACGATGATGATAATGGTCCAATATAAACGAAACTTGAGTGAAAAATCACGAAGCGAAATTTAAAACAATATTTAAAGGGAAAAAAACGATGAAGAAAAAAGGAAATCCAAATTCCAGATTAAAATCTGGTTACAATTCCATTATTGGGAAAAACATTCACTTCCAATGGTTTTTAATTGATGTTTACTGATTGAAATAACCAAAAGAAGAATAGAGAAAAGAATTAATGGTTTTTTAAAAGATTAATGGAGATATCAAGTTATGATTATTGGTCACTTACATTTTTGCCGGGAAACAAAGCAAAAAAAGATATTCATGTTAATGGTCAAACGGTAAAGTCGAAAGTGGACTTGATTCAAGATTTGACTTTGCTATTCTTCCTCAGATCGATGTGAAGAAAGAGGGAGGAAAAAACGACTTGATGATGATGATGTAGAGACGAGAGAAAGAGGTTCGAGAGAGTGAGATGAAAAGAGTGCGGGAGTAAACCAAATTTAGGCTAATTCGAGATGAGGCCAGAAGAGAAAGCGAAGATATGAAAGAGAGAGAAAAAAATGGTGAGAAAATAATGATGAAGAAGCAAATCTTTCTCTTTCTCTCCTGTCTTCTCATCTGTCTTTCGTTTTCTTCTTCTTAGTCATCTTTATCATCATGAACGGTCTTCTTGTTCCAATTGAATGAAACGTGCTAACAATCATGAACCCGTTCGGATAAGTCCAGCAACAACTTTTTTTTCCAGGTAAACTTGGAATCTTATATCGACGCCTACTTTCTCCTTTCAGTACAAACAAAATGCATTTTTCCTCATCCTTTTCACTATTTCCAATCTTTAATTGACTCTCACTTATTTTCAGCTTTTACCCATCATCTTAACCATCATCTTCATCATTATCATGAGTCGCTTTGATATTGATAAAAGGATTTACCTGCGATTTTTTTACTTCTTCTCGTAATCACCATCTATTAACAATCTTTTCAACTTTTAAGCTAATCATCTTTATAACAATCATTGTTTTTAGACATTTTAATCTTACCTTTTTTCTCGCTTTTTTTAGCCTCATCCATATTGGTCAATTGTTGTCTACCTGAATCAAGGTTATCACCATTTTTGCCGTGTCAAGGACAATAAAGAAACCTGATAACCCGGAACCATTTTTGAAACATTCATCTCTTAAAGCTTTGGTCACTTTGACAGTAACTCTTTCTAATTACGTGATTTTGATATTTAACCAGTTAACAATTATAAGCTTAATGGAAACCAAAGATTTATCAAGACATCTACACTTATTTAGAAGACCAAAAAAAGGTATCAACAATTAGTGTTTTACCTTTTCAAAGCCGGCTTGTTTTAGCTTCAGCAACACTCAACAGTATGATTGAAATTCGCAGTTATCACCCATGAAACAAACAATTTTCAAAGCAACATGGCTCATTGTCAGAACCTTTTCTCACGTTTATCTAAAATTGGGAAAAATTGATAAAAATTAAGATTATTTTTCTCTCTTTTAAATTGATTACAGTTGGGTGATTCACGATTTCAAAAAGGGATTGAAAAACGATTGCAAATGCGAAGGATGAGAATCAAATATATTGGTAAATGGTTGTAATGACTTATTTACCTTGATTATTAAACAGTTTTGTTTGACCTGGACTAAATGGTTGCAATTTAGGTAACTGTATTGATTGATTATTACCTCATCATTAAAGGACTGCATATCAGTTTGATTAAAATCACTTTGATCAAATAGCTTTTCTTTACCTTTTTGTTTGCGCATTTGTTTATGTGAAAGAGCTAACAATTATCTTATTTCGATTATGATTAAGAATTGATAAAGATGGAAATGTCCAATGGAAATATTGACCTTTACTACTGATTGGACATTTTCATCCTTAACAATTTAATTTTGTCGAGATAAGGTAATTGCAAGTTCACGCAACACCCAATAAACCTCTCTTTTTGGGTTTTTATTAGTATAATACATTATTTGTATGTATTTTAATTTCACTTTTAGTTTGATTGGATACAAAATGTGATGTTTTAACGGTAATAAAAGCCAAATACAAATTACTTCCAGGTAAAAAATGGTTCATTAATTGTAACTCAAACAATTAGGATAACTCTAAATATCGCAAAACATTGTCCTCAAGCGAATTTTATTTAATCATTTTTTTGTTTTTTTCTCATGACATTTTTCTTTATTATCATCCATAATCAGATCAAAAATCAGTAAATTGTGTTTTCATTATTTTTCATGATAATTACAAATTGCAACACTTATTGTTGATAATACTTTACCTTCAAAAACAGCGACAGAGCGAAATTCAAAATTGACACAAAAAACAAAATTAATGAATCGTTTTACATTCAATAGCGTCAATAGTTGAATCATGTCAAGTCGATTAACAACAAAGGTGATGATATGAAGACACAATTTACCAAGAATTGAACAGTTAATCAACTCATTTTCACTTTCAACCTTTTATGAAATTAATCCATGTCAAATGTTACTAGCAGCAAAGACTTGGGTTAAAAGGTGTTCTCAGAATATACTTTCACTTTGAATTTAGGCGTTATCTTATCAGTTAATTTTTAAAATAATTACCATGTCAAGTTCATCAATCATCAGGCAACAGGTAAAAAAGTAATCAAAGAAAAAACAAACAAATTAAACACAAAATTAAACGGTAAACTGATTGAATTGTAAATGATAAAGCCTTTAAGGTAAAATACAAACAAAAAACAAGTGTCCACAAGTAATATAAGTTTTATATTAAAATCCATAATTTGTCTTTTCATCGATACATTGAACAATCAAATCTCCCAATCGATCTTGAACTTAATCCATAGTAATTGCACATTATAATAATTAACTAGCTATTATTGGTACTATCAAACATTTATTTGAATGTATAAAGTAAATACAAGCAAGCCATAGATTGACTGAACAGTTTTACAGATTGATAATCTGTACTGCCCCCTGGTTTAGTCACATTTAGCTTTTTGGGATTAATTTTTTACAGTATTAATTTTGTGTTATGGTTTCAAAAGATTATTCAGTTACATATGATATCTCATAATATTATCTCTAAGGTTTACAATTGATTCCAGAATTTTGATTGCTTTATTCATCCCGATTGGTTTGATTCCTTGACTTTTGTCCTCTTGTTCAATACTTCCAGATACCAGTTTCATCCATTCTATGAATATTTTCCATGGTTTTCCATCCATTGTGCAATACTCCAGTCTTTTTCTTCCTTTGACACCTGAAGTATTTCATCCTCTGAAAGATAATCTTTCCTCATCTCACCAACTCACATTCAGTTATTACATGTTTCATTCCATCCACAGATAAATTTATAAATTCTGTTGTCATCTTTTCTCAGTAGATAATTTCTTTCTTCTTAATTTCTTAGATTAATTTCTATTTTCTTACTGGTGTTGTCCAGTTTTTTTAGTCATATGAAGCTTTATGCTTTTATTGAATGATTCTTTTCAGAATTTTCTTCTTAAGTGAGATTATCTTTTATTAATAAATTTTTTTGGAAGATTTTCTCAATATACCAAAAGAGCGAAGAGTCTTTTACTTAGTTCCAGTTTAACAAAAACTTCTAATATGAAGAACCTTGACTGACCTGAGGTTGACCTTGAGAGTTCTCTCAATTTTTCCTTTAGTCTGGTTGATACACTTATTCCGGTGTCCATTTCAACTAAAACTGACACTTTATAATTAAATCACCAAAGAAAATATTAATTAGAATTATATCAAAGTTGAATTAAAGATTCATTTGAAGAAACACAATTAACCAAAAGTCGGATAAAACAATAAGTCTTATTGCTTGAAACATTTACAGCTTTCTCACACACTTGACCTAATCAGCTGTTTCTAACTCAACGGTTTTTTTTAAATTGCAGTAGCTCTTGTTATTTCCCTTTCGATTAATTATAATTTAAAATTGTTAAATGTGCCATAAACTGTTATAAATAATCAACTTTCTATTTTGACTTCAAAGGTGTCATCCAGCTGATTAGAATTAGATAAAAATTGAAAGGAAATCAAGCAGAATTGAACAATTCTTTGTGGACCCAATTGATTAACACGACACTTTCTTAATGGATAACATGTAGCAGCCGAGAAACGAGGTAAGTGTAACTTGTTAACAGTAATTAATCATAACTAACTCAAGCTTTTATTAACCCCGGTCCTAATTAACAACACCTATCAAACTTGATTAGGTTTGATTAAAAACCATGAATTACAGGAAGTTTTACCTTAGTTTAAATTCTAATTTTGCACAGCAGAAAAAAATCTACCCTAATTTTTGCTTCATTTTTTTAACCTAAATCTTGCTCTAATATAATTTCGTCTTTTACACGAGCCATCTTTTCCAATTTCCTCTCATCTTAATTGTCAATTTTCTGGTCATTCACATTCTCATCGAATTTCAACCAAAATAATTTCGTAAAATCATTCAAATTCAATAGAAAACCAGCTCCATAGGCTCGTTTGGCGATGTGTTAGACTCAACCAGAGATTCACCCAAAGAGGAGCTCTTTGGATTCACCCAATTTTGTGCTGCTAATATCATGTTGTTTAACACTATTTCTACCAACTATAATTTGTAATCTCATTAATTTTACATTAACTTTTATTAGAGTCCTCTAGAGCTTTAATTGTTTAGGCTCAATGAGTGGTCATTTTTGGTGGAAAAGGGTTCACCTTAAAAAAGGGCTGACAATTTGCAAAATTAACTCAACAACTTGGAATGAAGACAAAAAATATAATTTGATTCTTGGATTAGGCTTTGAGGCTTTTTAATGACCTAACTATGATTCTGGTCGAGCCTTTTGTTGCCCCATGTAAACTAATTGACAGAAATAACTGCAGCACCAAGAATAGTGTTGATTAAGTCAAATTGTCATCTTCTTTAAGTGAATCCGTGCAAAGAAATTAACCCCAATTTTGTTTTTCTGCTTAATTTTAACGCTCAAAATATTAGACTGTCCGACATTATTTTGACCTTTCACGTTTTTAACGTTTCCGTTTTTTTTCTTATCATTATTATTTAGTAGCTTTATCATGGCCCATATTCATCTTTGTCATCATCTTATCACCATGAGTCCATTAAACTTCAACACCAAACCTGAACAACATTAACTTATCTACTGACACCAACTCATTCCCAAGAAGTTTTGAAGAGCTTGGCGTTTGTTGAATTTGCTGTTAACCTTATGGATTAAACAATTTGATAATACCTTTCAAGAGCTTAATCCAACTGATGATTGGTTGAAACGGAAATCAAGCCTTTGATAATTATGATGGCGTTGATGGCGACCAGAGTGCAACAAGATGGATGCCTAATGATGTTGATGTTGAATACAATTTTGGTTTAATCGATTTCCATCAGTTTATTTTGATTAATCATTTTGTAATCGTAAAACATCCTGTTTATGCTAATTCTGGTGGAAGACGATCAAAACAATCATCAAATATAAAGAGGATCAACATTTTGAGCCAGCCATTCTGTATCAACTGAATATTCATTATTCAGTATAACAAAGTATTTCACCTTTTTTCTACATTCCTCAGTACAATCATCGTTTTTTCTTCTATGATAATCATCTTAATCACATTTATAATCATAATTAACTTTCTCATTCATTTATTTTTGTCTTTCAAAATCCAGGCTCACCATTTTTGGGTTTACTTAAAATTCAAATTGCAAACACAATCAAAGCTGTACATTATGAACCAGATGAAACATTATCCTGATTAACAGTCAAGCTTTAATCAACTAATCAATGGATTAAATTCAACTTTACCTGGAATAATGATAAACACAAGTTGAAACAACAGTTGATTACAATGCTTGATTGGCCTTAACTGGTGTTGACCGGAGGTACAAATTAGTAACCCATTATTTGTACATTTTAATGATAATAATTACATTTTCCCAGTCGATTCGTATTTTTGGTGATTGATGATTCCAAATGTAACCTCAATTTTCTGACTTAATTAACAGCTGATACAAGCACAATTACTCTGTCAATCAAAAGCCATTCAAAAATATTGCCTTTATTGTGCCAAATGGAAGCTTTCCTTGTCTTAATTCAACTAGATTGTCGTCAACATGACCAAGTATCAACTTTGAGCCTTAATTTTGCCAAAGCTCAACACAAGTTAATTATCAAAATTATACTTTAAAATATTTCAGATTAAAATCTGAATGATCGATAGTTACGATCAGTTTCTCAGCATTATGAAAGCAACCAAAAAATGATTGAAAATCAGTTAATCAATATGTATTTACCTTATTTAATCAATTCACCTTTAGGTTGTTAATAACCCCAAGTTAATTATCATTACTGTTGATTATGAGTTGTGTTTTTGTTGGTTTTTAATTTTTGCTTTACTTTTCAACTTAAAAACAAAATAATGATAATAATTCAACATTTACTTTCTACTCATTTGTTTAATGAAAATTATTTTATTGAAACACTTTCCTTTTCCTTTCCGATTACAATTTAGATAGCAATGAATTTGTATGGAAACAAGAAAAATGCTCATTTAATTGCAATTTTAACAAACAAATTTTTACCTCTTCTATGATTAACCCTTAATTAGTGAATGTACCTCAAACAGATTGTTTCATTAACTCTTCCTTTAATATGCCTTCAACTTTGATACAAAACAGCAAAATATTATCATCAATACCATATAACCTTCACCAGGTTCACCTTATTCTGACTCTGATTTACACCAAATTAATGTAATCCTGAAAAATTTATACTCATTACCATTAAATTGTTTAACTTTCGGCCTTACCTTAATGTAACTATTTGACTGTCAACATGTTTCGGCCAAAAGTCAACTGTACATTTATCACTCCATCGACTGTCCAGTTAACTGTTGATTCATTGATTGGTAAAATTGTGTAGTTTAATTAATAAAGTGCAACAATCAATGAGAGAACTCTTTAATTATCGTAAATTTTTCATTTTACTTTTCATTTGTCAGTCCAAGCAATCTAATTGTAATAAGCTTCGGGCAAATCAACCTTTTTTTTCAATTATAATCGCCATTTCAAACATCATCTTATGTGCGTTTAAAGCGCATTTAAATAATACAATCTATCCGGAAACAATAAATGGCTAGATTTTATAAATATTTTTTTCTCTCTCTTCTAAAGTACAAAAATTTAATTATTTACCCAATAATTAGTTTTTGTTGTTGTTAACCATTGTTGACCATCAATTAGATTGCAATTTATTAAATCATTATATCGTGATATAATCTCAATTAATGTTAACCTTTCTCTTGCCATTTTTCATCTTGATTTTCGTCCATTCCATTCCATTGAGACTGTCAATTATTGTAAAAATTTTTGTTGGTTGATTTAATTACGATGGATTTAGTTAATTAGCACCAATTTCATCGTCAATTTATCAAATCGTATTTTAAATGGTCAATCTTTGAATCAAAAATTGCGCCTTGTTTACTATCCATAACAATGAACAATGATTGGTCGAGTGTAAAACCGCGCAATCATGTTATTCATCAGCTTACTAGAATAATTGTGTTTTCTGATCAATTTGATGTGTATTATTAAACGATTAATTTGATTTAACGACTGTTTATTTTTTTAAATTGTGTAACTTAATAGTTGGAGATCATAAAGATGTACAGAAATAAACTAGTTTTACAACAATACATGCTATGGTTGATTATAAAATCATTAAGACGCAATCATTAATTTTCATGTGCCAACTCTTTCAGCTAATCCACTGGAATCATTCATTTGAGTCAATTAAATTCGTTTTATGGCTTAAATGATCCTGTTTTCATTCAATGGTCCAGTCAACTAATCGTTAACTCGGGGATTCACTTGCTATATGAAATGGAAACAATCCATCTATGGATATCTATGTGGTTACCATCCATAGCCAGAAGCAATCATTGTTACTGCTTGAATTATATTCTTGTGGACGTTTTGTGATGGTTATTAATCAATGGCATTTACGGAAGCGTTTTGACCAGATAATTAGCCGTTGACTTGTTTATTGATGATTATCAACATGATCGTACACCAGTAATTTGAGAGCTGTAAACGTTTACTGTAATTGGCAGGGATTGGAGGTGAGACTCTGACAAGCGAAAAATTGCAATTATTTGAGTGAAATCTCACATTAACTTGAAACTGGTCATTGTTACTTATGGTTAATTAACTAGATTTTTTTTCATTTCTCCACCAATCAGGTCAAATTGGAGCTGTTCTCGAAACAAAGCAATCATAACGAGTTCAAATTGAGATTCTTTGAAAGTCGATCGAAAATCTTGAATATAAATTTAAATTGGCAATAAGAAAAGGAGATTTTGTTTCTTTCACTATTCACACTGTGCCATTCAAAATACATCTGAATAGTATAATTTGGTGGACTGATCAAGACATGCATGGATGTGAATTGAATTGATAATGACTGTTTATTTTAAAGATTTTATCAACTTAAATTGTTACCTTTTCAACAGTAAATTAGATTAACGCTGATGAAAATCCAAGTGAGATGAATAAATCAATTGATCAATCCATAAAGTTCGCAAGAGGACAAAAATTGTCAAAACAAGAGCCGAAAGGATTATCACCTAATAAATGTGAAAAACATAAAAAGATTACCTTGACTAACTGTTAATTTAATAGAGCAAATTGTCCTCAATCTAAATGGTCTAACTGAGATCTAATATACACATACACACATATTTAATTGGGATTAAATTGTGTTTTTATTACCATCTGTTGGCTTTTATGATTGTTGCAAATCAATTGGATTGACCCAATTCCAGATCAGTCAACATTAAAGTATTCAAATAATTTCATCTTTTCAAATAATTGCTGTTGATAATATTTCTCATCAGGATTTAACACAGTTAACAGGTTTAACTCTCATCACCTTAGTCAACTTTTGCTCAAATTTCCTCAACTAAAACCTATTACAGGTGATAACAACTAATAGCTCACCATGTTAGCATAAATCCAATCAATTGAGATTGAGCAAAGAAAAAAAAACTGTATCAATACAAATTAAATGAATGACAAGTTGACCAGAATTTCCGGTTAATCACAGCACTTGGTTTTTTTATTTTTCACTTCTTGTCTAATCTGTCACAATTTAAACTTAATTTGGTGAACACAAAAACCAATCAACAGGTTATCATATTAATAGACGTGAAAATGAATGCAATAATTTAGGTTGAGTTGCTTTCATCTGAACAATTTTGTTGAACAACTCAAACAATCTCCACTGATTAAGGATTAACATGATTGGAATAGAGTTTAATTGACATTTATTAATGCGATTTAGAGGTAAATTAGTTGAATACAAAATGTACAATTCAAAATGATAGAGTTGTTGACATTATGAATAAAGGTAAATTTGATTCACTCGGAACACAATGAGCTACAGTTTAACTAGTCATTCATGATTGAAATGTATTTCAATTGAATCTCAATTTGTTTAAGCTGCTCTAAGAAAAGATGTTTCATATAACAGTTAACTTGCTGTTGGTTGATTGCTTGATTGATATTATTTGTCTTACTAGATGAATGATTTGTTGATATTCAAACTTGACATCAGTTTCAATATCCAATTCATCTGCCGTTTAAATGTTTAAAATTAAACCTAATTGTTACCACGTAAAGTATTAAATTGACGAATCATGATAACCATTATACTTTTACCTTCTCAAATTCACACAACAAAATACAATTTGTAAAGCAAATTTGAATATTAATGGTTTCATTTATCAATCTAATTACCATCTTGGACTGAAATGGTCACCAAAATTAGATTACATCTCCAAGTCTTCTTGTGTCTAGTCCATTCAATTGATTGATTGAACCAACTATAATTAACAATCGTCTCACATCCATTGAAGTCTGTATTCTTGTTTCACCTAATTATTTATCCACCATCATCAACATTAACATCAATGTTTTTGTTTTACTTTCAATTTCATCTTTTCATTATTTAAATTTCAATCTTTCATCTCATCTCCGTTATATTAACAATCTTAATCAAATTCAATCTTTCAACTTGTTTCTTCTTCCTCATTCACTTTCCTCTCGTCCCGATCCATCCTCAAATGCCTTCCAAATCCACTCCTTAATTGCCATTAGAAAATGCTTTTTTCTCGCCATTTCCACCCAATTTCGTCCGATTAACATGCTGATCCATCTGAGCTTAATCTCAAATCCCTATCTGATTCCAGTAATGGTTAATCCGCTCTGATCCGCTGGCTCAGATTAACGGTTGAAAGGAAAAGACAGAGAAGAGTAAAAACAATGAGACAATTTGAATGGTTTGAGTTATAAATATATTAGTTGATTGATTGTCGATAAGAAAATGTTGGGTGTTTATGTGACAATTAGGGTTAACCTCAAGGAATTGGGAAAAGTAAATTTCTTTTGGGATGACATGAATGATTAACAAAATGATGGGAATCTACTTCTTCTTTTCTCTAATTGTTTTTTCCCTTTTCTATCAGAATCGTGATGAACGGTGAACTATCAGAGTTTGTATGTTTATTAATATTTTGCTAAACTCGTGGTGACTATTTAAAGAAGGGAATTGCACTTTCAGGTTGGAAACTAAGCAACACATATCAATGAAAATCGGTTAATCCAAATTCTGGTCATTCCTATTCATAATTATCATCTTTTCACCTTTGATAAGGCACAAACATCATAATTGATATCAACAGTAATTGATTTGAACTCAACTAAACTTGATTGGTCATGAAATTTGAACACTGATTAATCGTGTATTCAATGATACTCGGGCATGAATTTAAAATGATGAACAAGTATCCAGTAAAGCTGGCTGATTAAACGGATTGTTTGGAGGAAATAATTGTTGCCTTTCTCCTGATGTTATCACTGGATTGAGAAGAAACATCGTACGGTATTTAAATCGCTTGTTTTTACCAGAAAATTGATCACGAAAGTAGTTTACTTGCTTCTTGATTAAACAATTAAACATTCTAATTCTGAAAGTTTAAATTAGCTTATTTTCATTACTTAAAACCATTAGTCTGAATGTCTATTGCCTCAAATAAGTAATTAGAGTTGTTAAAATGGCCATGCAGTGAGCTTCATTTTCATGCTTAACTCAATGATATGTACATTATCTTTAACCAGATTGTTGGTCACTTTCATAATACTCATTGCTATTCAGTTTTTTGGTTTTTAAGATGAGGTTATGTCGAAATTGAAAAATTTGTCTTCAATATGCTTGTTTCCAATCAGATTTATTAGAGGAAGGAAATTATTCGCAAGGAAAAAGGAAGAAACTGTGATGGCTCAGTGTATTGATAGCTAATAATCAGGCTGCTAAAAAACTCATTTCTCAGGTGTGAGTATCCGATGCAGCCAGTCTGGTTTCTCAATCTGCCTTTGCTTCACCAGCAACACAAGAAAGATTCCCATATTTGACTATTGCGATGCCATTAAAAATCTTGAAGTAACAGAGTGCTTTCCATCACAATTTGGGTTAGACATGATAGCACGGGTAAGGAAAACATGAATGAGAATGAAGGGCTAGCAAATGGGAGATAATTGCCAGAAAACATCATCTAATAGGCAGTCAGAACGGAAATAACAATTTTTGTTTGAACACCTTCTTCGCAAGTTGAGGATAATACTCCTAAACATGACTTATATTTTATTATAAAAATTGCTAGCGAAAGTTACTAAAAGAAAAACAAATTCCTGATCTGAAGTCTGTGCCAATTCAATAGATGTATAATTTGTAAAGCTAACCCTGAAGATTTTCTGAAATGCTCTTCATCAACTGTAGCACTGCAAAAAACGGAATAATACAATGTAACTTATAAAATTATGACAAATAAGCGGTTGTTACTAAAAAGACACAATTAACACAATTGTTACATTTATGCACAAATCAATACAAATACTGTCAGACAAATGGTCGAAAATGAATGAAAATGAATTTCTTTCGAACTGAGACTCTGTTGGTTTGTAGAGACATAAAAACTGAGTCCGTTCGTGCGATTTAAAGGTTTCAAGAAAACCGGGCTCAAAGTTTGTCCTTGCAAAGCTTTTTGTAAAATTAATGAAGCAGATTTTTTCCTGAAACTCATTTTAATAATGTAACTTTTGATGATTAACCATGAAATGTACTTTTATGTTATATGTTTTATGTTACTTTTGAGAATAAAATTTTCTATTATATTTTCTGTAAAACAGAGAACTTTGATTTTCCGTTAAAGTGGCCGCATTCTGTATCCGTAAGAGTTAGATAGCTGAAATTTATTATCTGTTGATAAAAATTGTTGGTACACATCAACAATTGAAAACTTTTTTCAATTTATCCATATTTCTCTTGATTTTGACCATTAACCTAAAAACTTTGAACATCAATAGTCCGAAAATGGCATCACTTTCAATCATCATTCTTAGGCCAAACATTAGATTTTATTATGGGCTATGATATATTGAAATATTAAATTATTCGCGATTCTACAAAAAAATTATGGCATTGTATTGTTTATGTTACCAGATTTTATGCTTGCTTTATAAATGGTGAATGGTTACTAAACTAAAATCTAACGATATGTCACAAGGATATTCCTTATTAGATGAATTGACTCTGATTTCCTTCGGTATTCAGTCACATTATACTATAGCCCATAATAAATCCTGAAGATTGGCCATAGAATGATGATTCCGTGCACTGCCATTCTCGAAATATCAAATTCACAAAATCCCAACTCTTGACTCGAAAGTTATTATATTTTTTGACAATAATCCTTTCAATGCATTCAGTTGCACAAATGGATTCAGTTGCCTCATGCTTACAAACTGGCCAAATCTCCACTCTTAGTCCAAAGTCAAAATTTTTGCTCTTTTTATTGTCTAATTTTCAAACCGATTTTTGCAATTTGATTTCAAAAGTCATAAAAATCAAAGCTATCTATTTAACTTTGACTATGTCGACAGTGAATAATTTAGAGCGAATCCACATGGCATTGAGACGAGGTACAGAAAGGATCTTCTGTACCGTTCATTCTCAATCTAATGTTTGGAGTGCTGGCCATGATTTACCAATATTCCTTCTGGCTCTTTGGATGTGTTTAAAAGAGCAATCGATTGTAGCCCAGGCTAAGGGTAACGACATTATATTAATTCCAATAAAATACTTAGCTGTACAATTAGAAAAAAGTTTAAACTCAAGTTGATTTTCGCGATGCATTGAGTTTCAATGATTGAGATGTTAAGGTTGCTACTAAAAAGACACAATAAACACATTTGTTGCATTTATGCACAAATTTACACAAACACTGGAAGAAAAATGGACAAAAACGGGTAATAATGAATTTCTTCCAAGTTTAGATGCTGTTAGTTTGAAGGTACTTAAAAAGTGAGTCCGTGTGTGCTATGGAAAAGTTTCTCTGATTAATAGTTTTCGAGTAAATAGAGTTTGAAGTTTAAACTTCGATCGCTTCTTGTACAATAGTGGAAGCAAATTTTTTCATGTAACTCATAGTACTGGTGTAACTTTTAATGTACAATCATGAAATGAACTTACTTTGAAACATAAAACTTTCTATTTTCTGTAAAACAGATAACTTCGATTTTCCGTTAAAGTGACCGCATTCTTGTCCTGTAAGAGTTAGATGGCTGAAATTTATTATCTGTGGATAAAAATTGTTGGTACAAATCAACAATTGAAAACTTTTTCCAATTTATCCATATTTCTCTTGATTTTGACCATTAACCTAAAAACTTTGAACATCAATAGTCCGAAAATGGCATCACTTTCAATCATCATTCTTTGTCCAATCATTAGATTTAGCAAGCAAGTAAAAGCGACGCTTCTACGACAAGACCATTGACGGCTGCTGTAATGTTTTACTCAAATTTAAAGCAAAGGAATCTTGATTTAGCTATTTTGGTCAAAGAGAAGTAGATTAAAGCGAGTGTTTTCCCTTTTGATGAATAATTGTGTCTCCAAGATCAAAAAGACCATCATGACGATGACCAGGTCCTTCACTTTCAGCTACGGCACATGAACTCTCCATTGTCACTGATACTTCACCATAGTGATTTTCACCATTAGATGAATGCATACAAAGATCGTTTTGCTTCTTTAAAAAGTATGGTTTGATGCATATCAAGGAATATACACAAGCGAGCAGAGAAACTGTCACTTCATTTTTTGATCATAAACTCGTAATTATAAGGAATTGAACTTTGATATTTAATTAATTAGTTGAACGAATAATGAAAAAATAATTATATTAAAAATTTAATATGAAATATGATCACCATTGGCCAGTAAACAAGAATTAATTCTCCTTGGCATTAAATCCACTAATGAAGTTAGATATTCCTATGGACGATTTTGCACAATTCGACCGAGACGCCGCCTATCGGCAGCATGTAAAGTAGGAGATTGTCCAGATTCAGGCTTTCTATTGATTGACTGACCAGTTTTTAATCGCTTTTAACTCGTAAAATGGTTCTTGGACTAACATGCGTCAATTCAGCACAATTTTTGAATTATTTGAAATATTTTTCACCACAAAACAAACTTCACTTCTTTTCCTCTCATTTTCACTCGAAGGGTACATTTTTAACACATTTTTTTATGAAAATTAATCATATTAGCCCGCCTCAAGTACATTAATATAATCCTTAATGATCCAATATCAAGATAAAAAAATTAGATCAAAAATATCAAATCATTGAGAAAAGATATTACAATTCAAAGTAAAAATTGTGAAGTGACAGTTTCTCTGCTCGCTTGTGTACAGAATGAGAGTACGCAAAGTCCTGTTTTAGACAATTCTATAGCTTTCCATGCCGACCCGAAAATGTTCAATGACTTAGAGAATATATCATTATAAATGAAACCAGTATATATTGAGAAGAGACCCATCAACAAAATCAAATATCGTCCACCAAAGAATGTTTAATCCTGGGCTGTAATCGATTGCTCTTTTAAACACATCCAAAGAGCAAAAAGAAACATTAGTAAACCATGACCAGCATCTCCAGACATTCATGGAGAATGGACGGAATGATCCACTCCTTTCTGTACCTCGTCTCAATGGCATATGGATTCGCTCTAAATCATCCACTGGACACCAACAATTAGCAATCAAACATTTACTAGTGAGACCAAGATTTAACATATTTAAAGTTAAATAGATAGTTTTGATCTTGAATTTTGAGATCAAATTGTATGCATCGGTTCGAACTGGGAATACAACTGCTTCCATTTGTGGATTTGAAAAGTTTCTCTCGTGTACGATATTTGACAAAATTCGGTTCAAAATTTAAACTTTGGCCTCTTTTTGTACCATTGAGGCATCAGATTTTTTCACCGAACTCTTACTCAAAAGAAAGTCTTATACACTAGTTTCCGAGCATTTTGTTATGATTGATTTCAAATGAATCATTACACTGCATGAAAATTTATTCATGCAGTGTAAAAAAATTTCTAATCATGTATCTTCGAACAAATTTTCAAGTTGGAGCTCGTTTAAACTTCAATATAATGAGATCTGATTCAGATAATCAGATTTTTTGAATTTTTATTCAAGATACTCTCGAAAATTATCTAAAAATAGTAATAAGTTGTAAAGCTAGTAAGATATTGTGAGATTCTGTTGGCTAAACATGTTCATTAATGAATTTATGTTCAGTTCACATTAGATGACTAATAAAATAAGTCATTTATCATTAATAGCCGCATTTTGAACTCTGCTGAATTCGTTAGCTATGAGATATGGTAAGGGAAGCAATGAATGAGCTTGGATGAATTCAATTATACTTGGATCGAAGTATTTTAATGACTATTTTATATATAATATAATAGAATAGTTTATTCAAAGTAAAAGAGGTCAATTATTGGAATCTAGAGTTACAAAGTCCATATCATTTGAATTAAGAATGATTTTTGGGATAATATTCGTAAATAAACCAAGATAAGCCCAATAACATGTGCGCTGGTCGTGAATATTGTACATCTTTATCGTGACACCAAAGTAATTTGCGAGACTCTTCAATCGATAATCTGGAGTGTATAAAGAGTGATATTAAGAGTTAACTGGAAATTGTTAAAGAAACTTAAAAGGATAATCATAATCAATCATACTTACTCGACAACTTCAATTCTTTCATTATCAACTCCGCCTCCATGATTGACTCGCTGTGCGTCACTTTAGGATTGAATAGTTAAAATATAATCGGTAAAAAGGAACAATTACTTGACTCAATTAAAGTTATCCTTACATGACTTCAGCGTAGAAAATTGAATGCAAAGAAGCTTGTAATCCAACACTAGACCGTGATGAAGTGACAAATTTTAGTGAACTGAAAAAAATGGATAAAAAGAACATTAACGAGTTTGAAAATCGAACGGTACATCCTAAACTAACGAATTTGCAATTTACCTAACTGGTATGTCATATCCAGTTTCCTCCAACACTTCTTCCTTGGCTATCTCTTCATGGCTTAACCCTGTAAACAGAAACAAATGATCAACTGCTACTTTTACCACAAAAATTTACTTACCAGGTTTATCGATGATTCCAGCACACATTTCCAATGTATATCCATCAATTTTTGGATCTGCTTCAATTATTCCATTCTCAGCATCTAGCTTTAAAGCTGAAGATAGAATCAATGAGGGTCTGAATTGTTTTACAAAAATCAGCTTATTCCTTTCTTTGTGATAGAGAATGATGGCAACGCTGGAAACATAGAAATGAAGAGAAAAACAAGTTTCAAACGAAATGAAAATTCAAGCTAATTGTAATTACCTGTCGTGAGCCTTGACACAATCCCAAGCCAATTCTTTGCCATCCTAAACAATAATATGAACCATAAAAATTTAAAATATCAAACCGAAATTGACCGAGAAAAGGTCGAAAGAAGTAGAGAAAAACATTTAACAATCATCAGATCAAGACTTACCAGTGTATACTTTAATCTGATAGGTTTGATATAGTTAGAACCAGAAGGACCAATTGGTGATATTCCAACTACTTTAGGTGCTTGATTACCTGACATTTTCACGATAAAAAATTGTAAACAATACTGGTCACTTAAATGACGAAGAAAGGCTCGATTGATTAAACCTTTGGTTAACATAAATAACAACAATGGTACTTGATAAAAATTGACTAGATATTCGGATCAATTCATTGGATCCAAAACAATCTTCACAAGTCTGGTTTTAACCAAAGTTTTGAACAATTGTTTATAGCCTGAGCTTAATTCTTAAGATAAATAATATCAATAATCGAATTCCTTTGGTGGAAATCGCACATTGTTTTGCGGACTGAAAGATCAAATAGAAACAAAACAATAATCGGAGAGAAAAGGTCGCCAAAGGTAAGATTAATAGGTCAAACAATTATAATGGAGTTTTGTTTGAGTGTTTATCAAAATTGTTGGATTTCTTTTCATCCGATATGAATTCGGATTTAAAAAATATTTTTATTGTGATTTCAATGGATGAATTAAAAGTAATCTTTAATTTCAAATAGTCAGTAGTCTTGTAAAAGCAAATGAATCAATAGGGATAAAACTTTTTTTTATTGTTTCTTTAGTCGTTTGAAGACTGACGAAAATTGTTTATTAACAATCAATATATTAAATATGTAATCAATTAGATAAAAGAAAAGAGTGTGTTTCTTTGAAAAAGAGAGTCAGTAAAGTTAACATTAAAGGTCAAAATCGACAATACATCTGCTTTAGTGAAACTTGGATAAATCAAATGATTGCAGCCTCTGTACAGTACTTTGGAGCGGGAAAGTATAACGACGGGAAAAGAAATAAACGATTTAATTTAAAATTATGCTTTTTTGATGAAATGATGACCAGTCTATGAATTCAATTCCCAAACAATGAGATGGGAACGATCACCCTTAGATAATGAGTTGGACTCTTCTTCAGGATTAAGTCTAAAATCAATGTATCCTTCACCTCCACTTGTAATCAAATTTTTAGCCATTAAGAAAAATTTAACTGCATCTTTGTGGCCATGATAAGAAAGTTGAGATTGTGATGGATTACATTTAGGAATGAAAGTGGCTATTGAAATGGGTCCAACATCACTTTCAGAGACTAGTGAGGACGATGTAGGTGTTTTATGATTTGTAGAATCGCTGGATTTAAGTGAATTGCCGCTTGAACTTTCATTAGAAGGGGAATCAGCGTTGGTTGACCTGATTTTATCACAGGGTATACTTAATATAACTCCATTAGCTGTTCCAATCCAAAGGCGATTGTTGCTGGCTCGGAGAGCTGTTACTCGAATGAAGGAAAAAGCTTTGGAGGATAGCATTTTAGAAACATAAGGTTCTATATCAACATCTTGAAGATGCTGATATGGTTTAAGGGCTGAATAAAGGCGAAGAGTTGAATCCAAACGGATACTGCACCAAACTCCATCACCCATGGCAGCAAGTTGACGAACTTGAGTTTCTTTTCTTGGATGTACAGTTAAGGAATGAATAATTTTGAGCGCAACAGGATCAAGAATATAAACCATATTACGATAACCAAGCCAAACAGAAGTTTTGGTCACTTCCATACATCTTATACTGTAGGAAGCGGTAGCAGTGCTGGCTGGAGAAGATGTTCCTGATCCTGAATTACCAGATCCATTTTTATTGACACTGTCGCTTGAAAGTGAATTGGCTTTACTCATATCAATAATAAGATATTTAGAGAAATCCCAACAGCCATTTGTTGGCGATCTTACAAATATACAACACTGTCCATTGGCCAAAGCTACGAAAACTCGTCCCTTGAAATGGACAATTTGGAGAATTGAATCAGGAAGTCTAACACTACAAATACAATGCGACCACTGAGCGAGACCTGAGTGGACATAAAGCATGCAATTTTGTCCTCCAAGCCACATTGTCGGTAAACATGTTGACATGGGTTGGTAAACTGTTGTATTCGATGTTTGAATGTCATCAGAGACTGACGGAGAAGGTGGCTCTGTGTAGGCAACATATTCAGTCAATTTTTCCAACTGTACATTCTTGGAGATAGCCTCTTTTGAAAGTAGATCATCCTTTTCATCTTCAAATGAAACTTTTAAGGCATCTTTTGCTTGTACAGTTTCAATCTTTTCATTATTTGAAGGTGGTACTGGCGATGGCTGCTGTTGAGGTGGATCTATTTCGACAATCTTGATATTATCTAAATCAATATCATTATAATCATAAATATCATTATTCTTGGCTCCAGGAATAGAGGCAATGCATAAAAGATGTGTTTTAACTGTAAATGAATCCAAAAATTCACTTGGATTATTTTTTATATTGACAATGTTGACTTTACTCTTTGAATTGCTGACACTGCAAATCCAAGCAAATGTTGACAACTTTTTGGCATCTGGAAAATCATTTTGGTCATTTATTGCTGCGCCTATTTCATTCTCTAAGTCAGCAATAGCTGCTATTGAAACCTTTTCGGCAGTCGGAGTTTCAGCTTTTGCATTTTGATTACCAGGGAATCCAGCTTCTCCTCCAGTTAAATCAACAGCGGCAGCACACCATATCTTCAAACCCAAATCATCGTTATTTAATGGTCTACAATAAATTGGTACAGGAACAGAGGCATGGCGTAATCCTAGAGAAGTGAGATACGTGCCACCCTCAACAGAACTTTCACTTGATTCTTTACCACTTCCAGCTATACTCCAACCATAAGCCATGATACGATCTCCATTGGTTCGAGGAACATGAGCACGAACTGCTTTCAATGATCTTGCTCTTTCACTGGAAATATCGGCATCCATGAGAAGCACAAGATCACCAGAATGTTGTGTACGAGATCGCCTTTTCATAGCTTCAAGGGCTGGTGTTACTTGATCTGGATTAGAAGTACCATAACGAATAGCAGTTTTAACCGGGCTTCTATTACCCTCTTTAGGTAAGGTGCCTCCGGTAGTCCCGAAGAAGTTACTTAAACTGTAAAAGAGAAAGATAAATGTGAGAAATCATTTTCAAACACTGTTTAACAATTCGATGACGGGGTTAATTTTTTTAAATTTTCTAATCACAAGAATACCTGGAGAAATTTCTTCCACTTTAAAGGCAGCGTTAATAAAGATAAAGATTACAAATATTAAATGTGGTTAATTCTTTAAAATTAATGATCTATGTTAGTCAATATCGATTAATTATTATCATGCTACACTTACAATTTCCAGACAGATTTTTTCTCTCCTTCTGTTTTACTGGCACGAATCAGCTCGGTCCATCTTATGGCTTCTTGTAATTCGATTAACCTTTCTTTGTAATGATTTCGTTCCATTAAAACTCGAGCCATTTCCATACGAGTGAAGCGTTTACGTTGAGTCATAGGTGTTCCTTCCTCATCATCCTATTCAAGAATTAATCAATTTATAGATTTTTTATTCTGTTCATGTCTCCTTAACATTGTATGTAATTTTAAAATAGAATCCAAAATACCTGAGGTTGGGCTGTAACTTTCTGCTTAACTTCGTTAAGTTCTTCTTTAGTTTTCTTTAGTTCATCTTCTAATTGCGCGATACGTGATTTCAGTTTATCTTTAACGGCGGTTAATTGTTGAACTTCTTCCCTAGACATAGTTAAGTCACTTTGAAGTTCGTCAACTTTGACAATAAGATCATCCTTAACAATATTGAGAGCATTCTTGGTGGCCAATAGTTCATCATTTTCCCGTATAAGGTTTTGTACTTCTTTCTCCATACCTGAACGAAATTAAAATACAAAATTCATTATTAAATATGAGTGTGATAGAAAAAAGAGAAGCAAAAATAGAATAGATTACTCACCGAAAAAGTTATCCGTAACTGCCATAATCATGTGAACAATGGGATTAATAATAAATAAAAAACATAATCAGCATAAAAATATAACACATACGTTGTTGAAAAATCAAGAGAAAGGCAAAATTTAGTGCATCATTATTGTTCATAATTTCAGTTCGAGGTGAAAATTCAATATTTGTTGCCCTTAAAATATCTCAATAATCGAAAAAGGCAACAATCTGAAAATTAAGTTACAGAGAACTCGAACTGCTATTTGCCTTGAAAAGACATTGGGATAAACTGGATAGTCAGAAATAAATGACTTCGACAAGAAAAATTTGGCTGGAAAAAATCCAATCATGAATTGGAAGTTATTGAAAAATAAAATCTACTTTTACACAAAAATCTACTTTGATTATGAACGAGAGCGAAGACGAAATGATGACACAGTGAAAACGAAACGAGGAAATGTAAAATGAATTTGTTGAAGATGATAAGATTTAGCATACCAGATGAGGCATATTTATCCTGGTGTGAAATTCGACCTAAAGAAAAATTAAGAATTAAAAAAAGTGAATCAATCAGATGAAATTTTAAAAACCCATGAGAACAGGTTATTCACAATTCGAAATCGAAATGATACAAATCTAAAATATGCAATACCTGTAAGACTGTTCATTTCTCTGTCCTTTTCACGATCTCGGGGAATTTCATCTACTTCTTCAATTATTGAAGCATCTTCAAGTGATAAGTCAGTGTCGATCCAGGCCTGACGAGGTCCCATAATAGCTGAGGCCAGATTTTTAGAGGGCATGTTGATGTCGACTTCTTCGCTATGACTAGAATAGGATTCAACATCAGACTTTCTGGATGTTGTTGGCTTGTTATTACTCGATGGAACAATATTAGTCTGACCAGTATCATCATCACCTCCAATTAATATTTTCATACGTTCCATAAGATCACAGTGGCTTCGAAGTAGATCATTATAACGAGTATGAAGCTTGGAATTTTCGGTTTTCAGTTCTTGCTCTTTTTCCTCCAATCTTGAAGCTATAAATAAATACGTAGGATTAAAAAATTGTTTTTAAATCACTCTATCCATCTGAAAACAAATGGTTGAATTTTTCTCCTGAAAACAACACAAGAAATGTGAATTAATGCCCTGGATCAAACTAATTTTTCATTTAGTCAATACAAATGAGAGAGATTGATTAACAAAATGAAATAAATTGCGGATTATAATGATTCCAGTAATGAGTGATTACTGAAGTAATGAAGAGGTTACTTCAAGCGTTCACTTAATTTTAATAAAATAATCACTAATAATAAAGATCGGGGACAAGAGAAACTCGCAAAAACAAACGAAGAAATAATAATTACTGTAACTAAAGAGCTTCGAATGTTTATGCTAACAAAACAATTGGGGATAGCGTCAGGTTTCTCATACAATCAGGACATTAAAGTCAAATGGAAATGGATTTCATGAGTTGCTAGATTGAAAAACAATAATCGAGGATAAAAGTTGAATAATGGTGAAGTAAATCAAAACAAGTACAAAAAAGAGACATCAGACAATCCAAAATTTAACTGTAACACTTGACTTTAAACAAAAGTTGTAAATAATAGAACGATAAAAAAACTTGATTAACTTTCATTGAAATTTTTGGAGATAATCTTATCAGGTCAACCAGTATTCCATCTGTTTGTTTATTGAATTTAAGTTAACTTACCATGATCAGCTGAATTTTTGGCTTTCAACTCCAACATTTTGACAATGTTTTCGAGTGAATTGATTTTTTGAGCATATTGTTGCCTCTCATCTTCAGATTGAAACTCATATTCCAATAACTTTTGCTCGATTCGTTTTTTGATAGCCTTTTCCTTGTCAAAGGCAGATACCAACTGTTCATTATCATCTTTACACAGCTCCAATTCAACTTGCAATTGTTGTGATTCAATTAATGCGATATCCAATGATTCCAGGACATTCACAATCAAGGGCATCAAACCACCAACAATTTCATCTTCATCAGAGAATCTGTTGATGATCTTTTGAAGCTCAGTATATATTTGTGAAGCTAAATTTTGTACTCTTTCAGAAACAACATGGCTGGTCGGAGAATCCAACTGTCGTTGTCCAGATATTTGACCAAGAACTTCATAGATAGTTTCGTTGCATAAATTATCCAGATTTTCCTCCTCCTTAGCATCAGGTCCAGTGAAGGATACCTTACTGTTTTTATCACTATTGAACTCCATGCCCATTACAACATGTAGATTCCAATCCAGATGAATCAATTAAGGGAGATACATAGTCGATTGACATTAAAGATTAAGAAAATAACAACACAATTAACTAATTAGTTGATTAGAGGTACCATAATTGGCTTGATAAAATAAAAACACAAAAAATTATCAACAAATAAATGAAATAACATAAGATACAGCTGACGTCATAGGAAAATTGGGTGGAACCAGGATCATAAAGATTGCCATCTTGTGTCATTTTTAGAAGTCGAATTGGTACCAAATTGTTGTTATAATTAATTGCAATTAATTTACAGTACATTTTAATGTTTGCTAATTAAATTCTGAAGAAAGGCTAAAACCATGGCAAATTATTGTCAACAATGGCCTAACAAAGATTTTCAATCTGTTTCGATAAACATGAAGCAAATTACATTTAGTTTTCCTCAGTTGATAATCAATAAAGTCATTTGTTAGTTATTGAATTTATTTCCCAAATAATTTGCCTTTTGAAATTGAAATCAATTTATCGTCAGTAACAAGATACATTTTAAATTTTTCATTTTCAACAATTTATTTAGATTCTGATTTAGTTTCCATTTTCTTAAACTTTGACCTATTACTTCATTTCCACAAATTTAATTGTCAAAATCCCCAGCTGGCAATACGATTTTGATTTTATGGTGAGTTTTGAATTGGAATAACTTAATCTGGTCGTTTTAGGTGCATTTTAACAATTTTAAATTTAGCACTGATTTACAATCAATGTTATCTATCAAAATCGAAACATGCTAATCGATTAATCGAGGTTTGTTTATCATCAACAAGCCTCTGATTCTGAGACGATTCAGTAAAATCCATTGACTCCAGTAATGTCATAATACGCCTAATGTGTTCCTGTATTTTGTTAATACACTGAATTTACTTAATTCGTAATTATTTATTACTTTCCGGGCGTTTTACTGGATCTTAAACTTATTTATATTTATCAGTGTTCATCTACTGTGGTTCACGTTAGAGGAGAACTGGTCAAACATGGGTTCTCTTTTAAGAAGTGAAGAGATGAGCCTTTGCCAGCTATTTCTTCAATCAGAAGCCTCTTATCTGTGTGTTGCCGAACTAGGTGAACTTGGACTTGTACAATTCCGTGATGTAAGTCTTTATTATTCTTGAGTTTATTGTAAATTTTAATGGACATTGAATTTGTTTAATTTTATAGCTCAATCCAGATGTAAATGCATTCCAAAGAAAATTTGTCCTTGAAGTTCGTCGTTGTGATGAAATGGAGAGAAAATTACGTATGTTAACATTTTCAATATTAGTCTCCATTTAACTCTGTGATTCATACTAACAATTTTTATTGCCTGTTTTCTCATTTTATTATTTTTGGCTTGCAGGGGTTCTTGAAAAAGAAATTAAAAAAGATGAAATTCCAATGTCCGATATGGGTGATGTTCCAGATGCCCCTTTACCCAGAGAGATGATTGAATTGGAAACAACATTTGAGAAACTCGAAAATGAACTGAAGGAAGTCAACGCTAATGCTGAAGCATTGAAAAAAACCTATCTTGAGCTGACGGAATTGAAGCATATTTTACAGAAGACTCAACAATTCTTCGATGAGGTATTTCAATCAAGTTGACCAAGCTAGGTCATTCCTGCTTCCTCCTTCTTCTCTCAATTCATTACCCATCCTGATATTCATATTCACATCTCCACCAATCATCAAACCATTCCTTTCCATATCCATTTATCCATAATTACCCTTCCCTTATATCTCAATATCTCCTACCTGATTCGCCACTAGCCATAGAAAAGATCACCCGCTCACCTCATTAGTCATTACTAACTACTTGTTTTATAATTATAGTAAATTTGGTGCTTATTAGAGCTCTTTTCTTTTCTGTTTCTTTAACCTTTGTTGTATTTGTTTCTAACTTACTCACTATCGCCTCTGTTCTATCAACCTGTCCTGGGTCAATTTTTGTTTTGCTCATTTTCTTATTTGTTGATTGCTATGCATGTCCTCCCCCCGAACGCATCGCATCCGTTCTTCTTTGGTTTTTGTGCTTTGTTCACCAACTTTGAATCTCCATAACACTCCAATTGCACTCACAAATACATGAATGCACACAACCCCACCTTTACCTTTCCTTCCATCTGTTACCCTTATATTATCGTATTATATGTGAATGCTGATCGTGAAGGTGGAATATCACACCATACAGATTCAAGAAACAGGAATGGGCGACGAATCAACTCAATTACTTGGTGAAGAAGGATTGCGTGCTGGTGGTCCGGCCCAAATGAAGTTAGGGTATGTTTTTAGATCCATGGAGTCGACAATTTTACTTCTATTATCTTTCTGGTACTTAATCGTTATCTGTTGGCTCACATTAGTGCTTATTATTTTTTGTTGCCTAGCTTTTACTTATTTCCTGAACAATTATTTAACCAAGATGAAATAACAGCCTATTACGCTATTCCTTTTTGCTTTTTTTTGTTTGAATTTATTTCATTCTTAAACCTTGACTTTATTCACTTTATATTCAACATTACGAACCTTAGCAGTCCTCTGATAAAGGTGTGAGGAGGTTTAGTGAGGTTCAAAATTTTAACGCTGCGATGAATTCATATATGAATACTGAAGGAGCTCCCGAACGTTTCACATCCGATTTGGGGTATGATTGAATTAATCGATGATTTCAATTTGTATTTTAATATACATATAGTCCAGAATACGATGCGATCTTCTCATCAACTTTCATTTTCTTTATAAGTTGCAAATTACACATTCGTTTTCTTTTATTCATCATTAACTTATCATCTCTTAGATTTTTAGCTGGAGTCATTTTGCGAGAACGGATTCCTGCTTTCGAAAGGATGCTTTGGAGAGTTTGTCTGGGTAATGTCTTCCTTCGTCAAGCTGAAATCGAAAAGCCACTTGAAGATCCAGTTACAGGGGACAATGTTTACAAATCTGTATTCATCATCTTCTTCCAAGGAGAGCAGCTGAAATCTCGAGTCAAAAAAATCTGTGAAGGATTCAGAGCCACTCTTTATCCTTGTCCAGATAATGCTGCTGACAGAAGAGAAATGATTGCTGGCGTTGTTTCAAGAATCGAAGAACTAAACACTGTTCTTAAACAAACCAATGAACATCGTCATCGAGTGCTTGTTGCTGCTGCTAAACATATCAAAAATTGGATCATAAAAGTCAGGAAAATCAAAGCAATCTATTTAACATTGAATATGTTTAATCTTGATCTCACTAGTAAATGTTTAATTGCTGAATGTTGGTGTCCAGTGGATGATTTAGAGCGAATCCATATTGCATTGAGACGAGGTACAGAAAGAAGTGGATCATCTGTACCGTCCATTCTCAATCGAATGGATACCAAAGAAACACCGCCAACTTTTAATCGTACAAATAAGTTCACTCAAGGCTTTCAAAATATAGTAGATGCTTATGGTGTAGCTGCTTATCGTGAAGTTAATCCCGCTCCATTTTCAATAATTTCATTTCCATTTTTATTTGCCGTTATGTTTGGAGATGCTGGTCATGGTTTTTTAATGTTTCTTTTCGCTCTTTGGATGTGTTTAAAAGAGCAGTCGATTGCAGCCCAGGCTAAGGGTAACGAAATCTTCAAAACATTCTTTGGTGGACGATATTTGATTCTATTGATGGGTCTCTTCTCAATATATACTGGTCTCATTTATAATGATATTTTCTCTAAGTCATTGAACATTTTCGGATCGTCATGGAAAGCAACAACATTGCCTAAAACAGGACTTTACCCGGAAAATATGATGTTAGACCCACTAACACAATACTCCGATAGGCCTTATTGGTTTGGAATCGATCCTGTTTGGCAAGTCTCTGGGAATAAAATTTTATATCTAAACTCTTACAAAATGAAACTTTCTATTCTTCTTGGAGTAATGCAAATGTTGTTTGGACTTGTTCTCGGCTACTATAACCACCGTTATTTTGGAAATCGTATCAACATTGTGTGTGAATTTGTTCCTCAAGTTATCTTCATGTTATCAATTTTTGGATATCTTGATCTTTTAATTTTAGCTAAATGGGTTTCAGTTGATGCTAAAGACTCCAGTTGCGCTCCATCAATTTTGATTACATTAATCAATATGTTTCTTTACAAATATCCAGATTCACCTTGTTCAGCGTTACCCATGTACTGGGGTCAACAATTCATTCAAACAGTCCTTTTGATACTTACACTTCTATGTATTCCCTGGATGTTATGTATCAAACCATACTTTTTAAAGAAGCAAAATGATCTTCGTGTGCTTGCAGCGATGCATTCATCTAACAATGAAAATCATAATGGTTATAATGCCGATGGTGAAGTACAAGTTTCAATGGAGAGTTCAGGTGCTGTAGCTGAAAGTGGAGGCGGTGATCATGGTCATGATGGTCCTTTTGATCTTGGAGACACAATTATTCATCAAGTGATTCACACTATCGAAGCTTGTCTTGGATCTATTTCTCATACAGCATCATACCTTCGATTATGGGCTTTGAGTTTAGCTCACGCTCAATTGAGTGAAGTCTTATGGAGTATGGTTCTTCAAAAAGGTCTGACTGGCGAAAAAATTGCTGGAGGTTTCATCATGTATTTAGCATTTGGATTCTGGGCAATTTTAACGGTTTCTGTTTTATTATTGATGGAAGGTTTGAGTGCTTTCCTTCACGCTCTCAGATTACATTGGGTAGAATTTCAAAGCAAATTTTACTCAGGATCTGGCTATATTTTCCAACCATTTTCATTCCAAGTCATTCTCAACAATGAAGCTGACGAAGTTGCATAGTTATATCAATCAAGCGTGGAGAATGGTGATGTTATTTTTGTTAATCACCATTTAATTATTTCTCTCTTTGATCTTCATCTTACACAAGAAACTGGAAAGTTAAATCAAGAGCCCTTTTGTCTAGTGAATCTGAGTGAACTTATTTCATCTACAATAATCTTAAATCTATGGTCAAAGTGTCAATGCAACTTGCACATTACAATCAGCTAAATTATTATCTATTCGGACTCTATTAAAATTGTTTGATTTCATTTATTTGTTGTAATTTAATGAATGTGACCACGAACTATTAAATCATGAAAAGAATAATAAAAAGATATTGCCAAAAATGTTATCATAATTTTCAATAAAATGCTGAACTTATCCAAGAATAAAAGTTTCAACTGAAGTTGGTTTTGATTTGGTTGATAGAGATGAATTTTATCAATAGGATGTCAAGCATATTTAAGTATTAGCTATGAATAAAGAGATGGTTATGACTTTTTCATTGAAACATTGTTTTGCCTTGATATTTTAAAAGAATCAATCCAAATATTTATAATAGTTATCATAGGGAAACAAAAGCGTCACAAATAATCGTCATCATAATTTTTGAATACACCTTGATAAAACTTTCATTATTTTTGAAAGAAAAGATTGAGATATAAGATTGACTTATAATTTGCAATTTAAAATAATATGGATCTGTTTATTTAATCATTTAGAGAAAGCTTGAATATACCGGGTGATTGTGAATGACCCTTCGACGTTTGATTGCACATAACTTTATTAATATTTGTTGAAATTCACTCAAATCTGGTAAAATATTAAATCAACATAATAGAAATCACCTAAAACATTTTCGCAATGACCACCTTCAGCACCAATGATAAATCATTATCGAAGTAGTAAGCTGCCTATGGCCATTTGAACATGGCAAGAATGCTTAATATGTTTCTTTGCCTATTTTTTTTGCAAAGCTTGATCGGAACGTTCTTTTCGAGATGCAAAGAAACAATTTGATAACCAGGCATAAATTATAAGCTAGCATTCGACTCTCAAAATGTTTTTTTGGTGCAGTAATTGTCGTTTTGAGCAAAAAATTTCCCTCAAGTTCGGTTTGTCCAAAATTGCGTTCATACAGTCTGCAGATGCACCTTTTTTGCATTGAATCACAATGTAGATCATTTACATTGAAGGTTTCCACGAATCTAGAACACACTTAAGTAAAAATTTTAACAAAGTAATTTACAAGAGCGAAAATTGTCTTCAGCTTCATGAATGGAGCCATCATCGATGGAATCAGAGTGGAATAACTTTTGAACTAGTTGATGTTGAGCTATGAAATTTCATTAAGATTAAGGAGAATAGTTGTAGTAGTAGAAAAAATATGTTTGAGTGTTGAACATTAAATAATTTTTCCACAGCAGGTATTTGAAGTTTATCGAATCTGACAGCTTCCATTTTGCAGTGAGCACGCTGTAGCGGAGAGAGATCGAAGTTTTGAACGATCAAATACAATTAGAACAGTTATGCACTAATGCAGGTCTGATATTTTGTAACTAATTTCAATCGAAATATATGCGCTTTTTAGTAATTAATGGACAAACGTCGAAGGGTCATTCTCAATCACCCGGTATGTTATAAGAGAAACGGTGAATACAGAATCTTTATGTTATCTCAGATAATTGATTTTGTATCAATTATGTCTGCAAATTGTATAGCACATTTAACTGGATTGCATCGTCTTCGTAAATGTCCGGTCTTCTTCAAACTATAGCCATAGCTATATATAAGAGAGTAAAAATTGACATTAAAAAATCTTTTTGAACATATTATTGTCCGAGTTTTCTATGAATTGTGGCTGACTTACGTTAAAATTGTCCACAGATGCTTAAGAGCTTCCAAGTAGCATCGTCAAATTTAAACTTTGCGGCATAAAAGGCATTTGGTGATGCATAGGATTGAGCTAGTTTTAAGGTCATTAAGAGCGTCAAAATTATCATTAATTGATCTTGTTTCAATAGACAATAAATTTTCATTGATTGTGGCTAACTTACGTTGAAATTGTCCAGAGAGACTTATGAGATTCCAAACCGTATTTTCACAGTTGTGTCTTGCAGTAGTGAAAGCCTCTGATGATTGATAAGATTGAGCTGCTTATAAGAGGGTTAACAATTGTATTAATTGATCATGTTTGAACACATTATACTCTCAATATTTTATTAATAAATGCTAACTTACGTTTTTGTTGAAAGAATGGCAAGAGCTTCCGAATAGCTTCTTTAGCATTTTGGACAGCAACAGTGAAGACATCTGTTGATTCACTTGATTTAGCTATTTTTCAATATTGAATTAATTGATCATGTTTGCACAAAATATAGTAATTTTTCCTTCTCAGAGGCCAACTTACGTTTGAATTGTTCAAAGAAGGAAGATATCTCACCAAGAGATTTTTCAGCGTCCTGCTTGGTCTGGGAATCGTCGATGGAGCTTCGCTTGCTCAATGATTCAGCAAAGACAACTGTAAAGAATAGATTTAAAAGGGTTAGAAATGATTCGATATTCAATCTCAGACATTTCAAATGTATATGATACCTCCGATGAAGCATATAGTCAAGATAATGGTGGCACGCATTTTGATTGGTTAACAATGAGAATTCGGTTCTGGTTTCTGATTAGGAGAATGAAATATTTTGAACTTGATTAATTCAATGAATGGTTATTTCGAATGAAAAGCAACTCTTTTTATATAAATTTTCGTTTACTTCCAGAACTTTACATTTTTGTATCGATTTGATTGACATTTCCACATACAGCAAGCATTCATCTGCCAAATGATGTGACAGATGAATCCAATGAGTAATGATGCACTGACTCTTCAGTGCTTAGATAGCTAGATGTCCAATGAATGTGATTAAATCGAGCACATTGATGAATACCGAAAGTATTATTAGTCTTATTAGTGAAAATGTCGTACTGTTAATTTCCCTTCAGGATCATCTGATATGATCAACCGTTCGAACATGTGATAGGAAAGGGAGATTAAAATTTCGCTATTTAGGCATTAAATAATCTTAAACACATTAACTAATTAACAAGTGAATCCTCTATTCTGAACCAGGCTCGGTCTCTGGACTCGCGTTTACTTGCATATCTATCTGCGGTGTAAATGGTCAATCTGTGAATAAATGATACACCACATACTCAGAATACTTCCAACAAAAATAATGTATTCAGAGAAAATTTGATTCGGTTTGGAACTGTAAATAGTACCAGGAAATTTTGACGCTTGAAGCACAAGAACACTGTAACTTTTCGATATCTCGTCCGTTAAGATCTCTTGTTTAACCTCATACTCTATTTTTTGACATTGAGGTAGACGAAATGTTTCATAATATGCTTTATTTCGAATCTGCATCTTTGTTTGCCAGACTGAAAAATACTCATCTTAAAATTGAAATGATTCCGATCTAAAGTTGAAAATGTTAAAAAAATGATTCAGGAGCTCGTCCTGATTCTACCTCAGAAGAAGCAGACGATTGAATGATTAAATTTTCGGTCTGTTCAATTGCTGTCAAAGTTACTTCAGGTTAGACTAATTTAGAAAATTGATTCAGCTTTGAATTAATTCTGTTCAAGCAAATGTTTTCTTCCAATTTTGTCACTTTATTTGTATATATTTTGAAAGAACGATATTTATCTTTCGATTTCTATTTTAATTTAAAGGTCACTTCAAACACAAATTTTTACCAAACAGAGCTGCTTGACTTTTGCGTCAGATTCTGTTTGTTCTGTCAGACTTTTAAAAATAATTAGAAACGAAGCAAGTATCAAACTTTTGCTCAGAAGCCACATTTACTCAAACAGAATTAAATTCGAAGCTGAATCAATTTTCATTGGCTGATAGTGTAAAAGACCATCAGTTTCATCGAGCTGATATCAGTTACAGTTTCAATTTGATAGATTTAATCTGGTTTGCAAAAACACTTAAATTTTTATTCAAAGTAAAGCAAATCAACAAAATTCAATAACTTAAACAGTTAAACTCGTGTTTCTCATCGCTTTCATTGCCATGTTCAATTGTGTTTCTCTAGAAGATTGATCAAAAATCTTGCTACCATGAATCCAGCAGACATGCTAGGTATGGATGTCCCAACATCGACACCATGTGGATCCACCGATTCTATGTGATTAAAGCCACCTGATCTGTCTCTGCGTATGGGGTCTACATCGACATTCATCCAGTCATAACATTATAATAGGCATTCTTTCCATTAATGAAATCAATCTCTATTGATTTCTAAACTATGAAAATTATAAACTTTAATAAAATTATTTAAACTCTAATAGTCTTGAAAATTTAATTCGGAATCATTTAAAATTTCAAAATTCAAAATGTGAATCGTTATCGAATAACTATAGCGATCTTTTATTTTGGAATAATCTGTCTCTGGATTCTGAATCCAAGTCCTTTTGCCTACTGAACATAATTCCGACTGACCCGAACCTTTCAATTAACCAGTGTTAAGTTACATTTATTTAAAAATTTCTCGATTCTACTAGACTCTGCTATGAAGTTTTAAATATAAAATTTTTTGGCGAGAGTTAAAATCAGATTAGTACACCTTTGTCCATTTGAGCCCATAGCTAGACGATTTTTGATCGAAAAGTGTTTGTTGCTGAAAAGTACACCTTCATTCAAATAGTCAAATAGTGCCTGTAAGCCTAGTCTAACTGTCTAATTTCTATTCTTAAAAATTATGTAAAGTCATAAGTATGTTGCAATGGTTTGCATTATATTTTTCATGCCATTTTGCATTTAAAAAAATTATATTGAAAAATCTATTTCCAGGCATTTTTTCCTATTCTTTTAGCCCAGTTGTACTCTAAATAAGCAACTTAAAAATAAGCTACTCAAAAATTAGCAACACAGGTTAAGGCAAATATGAAAATAGCCAATGGCACAAGTTAAGCTGGTTAGATCTAAACAATAAAACTGAAATTCACATTTTAATCCACTCGAAATATGAACAATAACCAAAACACTAGTCAATAATAGTTTTGCTAAATATCAATATGAACCAAAACTCGTCTTGTGAATATAGTTTCATTAAATCTAATTAAGAGGCGAATTTATTGTGTCATCATTCGTACCTATTTCGGAAAAAAAATACGCGCGCTGGTGATACGCGCTACTGGTATTGCTTGGTAAATTCATGTTCTTCTCGTTGCAAATCAAATGGTGAAGTATTTACTCTAACTGCTGATCATAATCACGGCGATAATCCTGCCGAATCGATAACAAGACAGCAAAGAAATTTGATCAAGAATGTCATAAAAAATGACCCGGTTATCACTGTTAATGAAGCGTAACCTATGCGGAGAAACTTTGAGACAAGTTATTTCTACAATTGTTTCTTTTTTCTCAGCAATTATATTTTCAATAGACTTGAAATTTTAGGGAAATGAGCATGATGGACATTTATTTACTCCGATCAAATTTCAGAAAAATAGCTTCATTAGTTTAGTCGATTTTTGCATTAATCAATCGCGCTTCAGTCAGCTCAAATGCTTCTGTTTCAAAATGGATTTTCTATGCGTTCTTTCTTAAGTTATCTTATTCATATTGCTTTCATGAACTTCTTTCTAATAAACATCATTCGATTGCCTGAGGTTTAAAGTATATGCTGGAAATTTTTAGGACTTTAAACTCATTGGAATCAATTAATAATTATTAATAATTTTTCTCGTTTTCCTGGCTGCTAGATTCTGTTCCGAACTCAGAAAATGACCAGTAACCAGAAGGAACTAGAAAAGAAAATCACCGAGGAAGATACTAAACGTAAAGATAAGAAAGCAACTCATGAAATCGAAGATTATATCGATGGATTCTTGCAAGAATTGAATAAGCACAACGATTCGAAAACGAGTTTTAATATTTAAACATTGCGACGGAATACTGCTGATTTAGACATATAGACAAATTAGTGTAGCAACTCTTTGAAAAAATTTCCTAAGCATGAATTTTGGAAGCCTGCGAAAAACGCCAAAACAAAAGATAATCTTGTCCCGAGGGTGGATTAAATGACTCTACCAGAAAATACTGATTTTTAGCTTTTGAATGATGTATAAAATGTTTAATAATTATCACTTCTTAATTGTGAAATTTCATCTGAACAATTTGTCTCAAAGTTTTTCCGCATAGGTTACAATAAAGCTACGAACATATTAACAAATAATGATGCTGATGAGCTTGGTATAGCTTTAAAACCATTTCGTCTCCTTCAATCTACAATAAGTGACAATAAACTAAAACAATTGCCACCTTTCCATCTTCTCGAGATTAAATTCAGATTCCTGATCGATTCAGAAAATTGGATAATGGCGAGAATTTTTTGCTTGTAGATGATAGATCTGATGAGAAAACTTTACTATTTGGAACTAGAAATTTCATTGAATATTTGTGCAAGGCAAAACATGTCTATATGGATGGTTCATTTAAAACATCAGCAACACTCTTTCTCCAACTCTACACTTTACATGTAATGGTTCCCGTTATCTAAGGTCTTCTTCCTAATAAGCAACGAGAAACATATATGCGTTTTTTCAGATTGATTCAAGATGAAGCTATGAAATACGGATTTTCTGTCCTGGTGTTTTCCTAATCGATTTCTAACAAGCTGTTTCATCTATTAATGTGATATTCCCAAGTTCTGAGGTTAAAAGTTGTGCATTTCATTTCAGTCAATGTGTTTGGAGATCGATATGTGGAAGCTGCAATTTCACCAATTGAATACCTCGAAAAGGTCAAATACATCAAGTTCAAATAGTCATCAAAATTACTGCCTACAAAAACGTTCAATCTTCAATGTGTAAATGAGAAAAAAAAGGTCAAAATAAAATCTGATTCTTCAACCCAAAATGTAATCTAATGGTGAACTTCGAAAGCTATTTTTTCAAAAAGCTTGATCAGAAAAACCTAATCAATCAAAAAATACAATTGACATGACAGCAATTGATAATGTAAATCATCGTCAGAATAAGAAATCAAAAATTTGCACAATTGTATTGGACAATTGGGTATAATAGGTTTTACCAGTAACTTTGAAGTCAAGCCATCGAATTGTCTTTCTAGTCCCGTCCATTCGGATACCTATCTTCCAGTATCAAATAAAATATCTGAAATGTGTTCTCTATGTACAAATTCAAGAGACATTGAATCGTCTTGAGCTAAATCACCAATCAGCAAACAAAATAATTCATCATCGTACACATTTATCAGCAACTTTGAATCATCTATTCGATGAATAGAAATTCGGAAAATTTGTTTAGTTCGATTGCATCGACAATCGCCCTTGGAGGAGATAATTGAATCAAATCTCTGCGAGTCTTTATTAATTCATTATCCTTAACCTTTGATAACTCAACAGAGTCCATGATCACAAAACAATTGGAAGATGTTCAATGGTAAAATTATTGTGGAAATAATCCATGCATGGTTCAAACAAACGCTCATCGATCATCAAATAATCAGTTGCTTCGTAAAGATCAATCACATCTTCCATTTGCACTAAGAACGATCCAGTATGAATCCAATTGAGTATAGATCGAAGACATGTTCATCAAAATCCAGTCCTACTTTGTTTTCCTTTGATTCCAACAAATCACCACAAAACATTTTCTCAAAGTAAGGCACAGATGAACAAATGAACTTTTTGGAGACATAATATTCATTTTTCCTCACAACAATTTTCAGTTGGACATCGCAATCTTGATTCTCTTCATCCATGTTAGCTAAGAGGTATCTCTTGTCTAAACAACTCTAAACCTTTACAAATTGCAGCACAAAACCTTTTCGCATCTGGCACTTCTTTTATTTCCGTGGGTAACATGATAAATGCTAAATACGAATTTAAATTGTCCTCTTTCAACTCAAACATTGAACCTAATCCCATTTATTATACAACAATTCCTTACAGAGAAGATGGACTGATTTTCAGTATAATTGAGTATCGAAAGATTGTAACAAGTTTACTTGAATATCCTTATGAAACTAATTGCATTGATTATGATGGAGATTCGGCTCTTGCCGATTGCATCAATAACAGACTACTTGCTATGAAACCGCCTTCACTGTATCATGCTGCTGTCTTTCCTTTTGGTAAATATTCTGGTGCTTTACCATTCATCAATGATCAATCGAAAGCTTTGCCAGTTTATAAAGCATGTTATGAAACATTTCGTCTACCTCAATGTCAAAAAATAGAGTATGAGGTTAAACAAGAGATCTTAACGGACGAGATATCGAAAAGTTACAGTGTTCTTGTGCTTCAAGCGTCAAAATTTCCTGGTACTATTTACAGTTCCAAACCGAATCAAATTTTCTCTGAATACATTATTTTTGTTGGAAGTATTCTGAGTATGTGGTGTATCATTTATTCACAGATTGACCATTTACACCGCAGATAGATATGCAAGTAAACGCGAGTCCAGAGACCGAGCCTGGTTCAGAATAGAGGATTCACTTGTTAATTAGTTAATGTGTTTAAGATTATTTAATGCCTAAATAGCGAAATTTTAATCTCCCTTTCCTATCACATGTTCGAACGGTTGATCATATCAGATGATCCTGAAGGGAAATTAACAGTACGACATTTTCACTAATAAGACTAATAATACTTTCGGTATTCATCAATGTGCTCGATTTAATCACATTCATTGGACATCTAGCTATCTAAGCACTGAAGAGTCAGTGCATCATTACTCATTGGATTCATCTGTCACATCATTTGGCAGATGAATGCTTGCTGTATGTGGAAATGTCAATCAAATCGATACAAAAATGTAAAGTTCTGGAAGTAAACGAAAATTTATATAAAAAGAGTTGCTTTTCATTCGAAATAACCATTCATTGAATTAATCAAGTTCAAAATATTTCATTCTCCTAATCAGAAACCAGAACCGAATTCTCATTGTTAACCAATCAAAATGCGTGCCACCATTATCTTGACTATATGCTTCATCGGAGGTATCATATACATTTGAAATGTCTGAGATTGAATATCGAATCATTTCTAACCCTTTTAAATCTATTCTTTACAGTTGTCTTTGCTGAATCATTGAGCAAGCGAAGCTCCATCGACGATTCCCAGACCAAGCAGGACGCTGAAAAATCTCTTGGTGAGATATCTTCCTTCTTTGAACAATTCAAACGTAAGTTGGCCTCTGAGAAGGAAAAATTACTATATTTTGTGCAAACATGATCAATTAATTCAATATTGAAAAATAGCTAAATCAAGTGAATCAACAGATGTCTTCACTGTTGCTGTCCAAAATGCTAAAGAAGCTATTCGGAAGCTCTTGCCATTCTTTCAACAAAAACGTAAGTTAGCATTTATTAATAAAATATTGAGAGTATAATGTGTTCAAACATGATCAATTAATACAATTGTTAACCCTCTTATAAGCAGCTCAATCTTATCAATCATCAGAGGCTTTCACTACTGCAAGACACAACTGTGAAAATACGGTTTGGAATCTCATAAGTCTCTCTGGACAATTTCAACGTAAGTTAGCCACAATCAATGAAAATTTATTGTCTATTGAAACAAGATCAATTAATGATAATTTTGACGCTCTTAATGACCTTAAAACTAGCTCAATCCTATGCATCACCAAATGCCTTTTATGCCGCAAAGTTTAAATTTGACGATGCTACTTGGAAGCTCTTAAGCATCTGTGGACAATTTTAACGTAAGTCAGCCACAATTCATAGAAAACTCGGACAATAATATGTTCAAAAAGATTTTTTAATGCCAATTTTTACTCTCTTATATATAGCTATGGCTATAGTTTGAAGAAGACCGGACATTTACGAAGACGATGCAATCCAGTTAAATGTGCTATACAATTTGCAGACATAATTGATACAAAATCAATTATCTGAGATAACATAAAGATTCTGTATTCACCGTTTCTCTTATAACATATATTCAAGCTTTCTCTAAATGATTAAATAAACAGATCCGTATTATTTTAAATTGCAAATTATAAGTCAATCTTATATCTCAATCTTTTCTTTCAAAAATAATGGAAGTTTTATCAAGGTGTATTCAAAAAGATTTTGTATTTGGACTGTTGGTTTATAAGTGTTTCGATTTTAAAACGATGCTACTTATTCGGGAAAGGAAAGAGACGTTCAGATAGGCAAAGACAAGCAATACTTACTTCTTTTCACAAGATTTACTGAAAAAGGGTCTGAAAATATCAAGCATTTACGTCAAAGAGTAAAACAAAATTTTATTTCACTCTTTGATTTACGTTCTGATTGATTTGATTGAACTGAAAATTGATCAAATCAACTATCCAACTGCTTACCTTACTCCATCTATCAATATTAAGCTTTCAACTTATGTAAGTTGCTCTAACATGTGTTTTGACTGTTACTCTAAATTGACCTTTTTGATTTTCTTTATTCCTAATTTCAATTCTAATGGTTATTATGATTTATCTTCGATTTGATTCGTGGATACTCAGATTGAGGCTCTTTTTATCCACAACTTCATGCATCCTCAGAATGAGCCTCCTTTTATCAATTGAAAGTGATGCCAGCTATCAGGCTCTTATTCAACTTCGCGTGTCAGACGACATACGAGCACCGTTAATGTATTCATCGTCGTGCTCCATTTTCAACTCTATTTCTTTTTTAAAATGTCAAACTCAGATAACTCTTTTTTTGTTGGCCAATCATTCAGTGCTTATACTGAACTTGAAGAGTTTATCAAGTTTTATGAGGCTTCGAAATACAGAAAATTGCTTTTGACGGAGACAGCTTTAAAGAATGAAGAAGACAGTGTAAATATTGAAGAGAACACTGGTCATAAAAGCAAGTGTGAAACTTTAATCCTTTAAGAATGGGCGAGACAATGTTAAGAATGAAGAAGACAGTGAAAATTTTGAACAAGACACAATTTTAAGAAAGAATGACTTCTTTCTGGATACATTTATTAACACATTACGAGGAATGATCATTTTACGCCTTCATGCAGGCATAACTCACGAACGGTTAGTGCTACAGACTTGAGACTTGAACTATAAGCTTATCCAGATTGCACAACGATAATTTCAAGTGCTCAAGGTTATTCAAGGTCAATTCTTTATTTGACCTCTAATTGACATTGAAAGGTCATTTTCTGAAATCGCAAAATTTTTCTGGTCCGATAGTGTTAGTTACATTTTCATAACTCATACTAGCTGAAGGATATGGGTGATCCCTTAACATTTAGTTGGCCAGGAAAAATTCATTCCATCTTTCCAATGGTATGAGTTATGAAAATGTAACTAACACTATCGGACCAGAAAAATTTTGCGATTTCAGAAAATGACCTCTCAATGTCAATTAGAGGTCAAATAAAGAATTGACCTTGAATAACCTTGAGCACTTGAAATTATCGTTGTGCAATCTAGATGAGCTTATAGTTCAAGTATCAAGTCTGTAGCACTAACCGTTCGTGAGTTATGCATGCACGAAGGCGTAAAATGAAAAAAATACGCCCGGTATAAGACTGCATATGCTTATAATAATTTTTGCAATCATCAGAACTGATAACCTGAGATGCATCTCTTACTCCATCATAAACCTGGTCAGGTATAGTTGATCTCAATCTTTTCACGTAATTTTTAAGTTGACTGAATAGGTTTACAATCGGATTGAGAAAAGGTGAATATGGGGGTAAAAAACAAGATTATGTTCAGCATTTTCGACCAAATCTTTCACATTTTCGGTGTGATGAAAAGGAACATTGTCCATAATTAGATGAGCACCTTGAATTGAATTATTGCACAGATTCTGAATGAAATCACGTAAATAGTCGACAAAACTTGATGAATTATAAGCAGTTTCCTTGACCTCGTAATAAAATAGTGATTGGTGTTTCATTGCTGCACAAATCGAATAAGATTTACCTCTGACAGCTTTAACGGTAAGATAGGCAGGTTGACCGACTGGAGCATATCCATATCCTTTTCGAGCATGAACTTGAATGCCTGTCTCATCAAGAAAAACACTTTCTCCCTGTCTACATCCATTTGAATGAACTTGATTGTATAATTGTAGCGATTAGCAATTGTTTCTGGAGTATTCCGTCTTTCTGCCACTGGAGTTATTCTCTTGAAACAAAAATGTATTCCATTGATGTATCTGCATATTGTTTGGTACGCAAACATCAATATCGAACTCTGATTTGATTCTATCTTGAAGATCCTCCAAAGTACGCTGACAATCTTCATTTAACCATTCAGATATTTTGGCACTGATTTCATCGTTTAATTTTTTACCTTTTTTCGATGTCCTTTAGGTAGCTCATAAACTTTGTACTTTTGAACCGTTGTACAAACGAATTGAGCTGACAGGTATATTGAATAATTTACTTATCTCAGTTGAAGTCTTATTGTTACGATGAGCATCAACAATCAATTTTTTAACTTCAACACTAATTTTTGCCATATATAAACACGAAAAAATATTGTTCACTAGCTGACTTACAAGCTAAGATTGATTCCAAAGCAACTGTCTTGCTCAAAATTTTCAGTCTTTTTCATTCTTAACATTGTCTCACCCATTCTTAAAGGATCAACTTTTCACACTTGCTTTTATGACCAGTGTCCTCTTCAATATTTTCAATGTCTCCTCCATTCTTTAAGCTGTCTCCGTCAAAAGCAATTTTCTGTATGAACAGCTTAATAGGCGAACCAGCGAGAAATCGAAATGTGAGCGGTTGCGGTACGCAAGATTATTACTATGTTGTAAAGCTGATGGTCGAGCCTATGTTTTGGCTGCAAAGGGAAAAAGAAAAACAAGGTACGCTATTTGACCATAAAAGAGCCCCTAAATTAGACTCTCGAGAATCCCAAATTAATCTATCTTTCATTACAGATCCTTCAAGACAAATTGTCCATTTCAAGTAATTATAAATGAGAACCATCTACCAAGACAAAGAAGATCGGACAGAATTGGAGTCTTTGTGGTCAAAATGAGGGCGCATACTGGAAATACAATTTTTGTCACACATACAGACAATATTATCGACACAAACGGTGAGTCTGGTGTTGTTGGTTTGGTTCTGATGCGATCTGAATGCATAAAAGCTGCACGACGAGGACGTTTTGATTCCAGATCTTTTTAAAGAAGAATTAGAATCGGATGTGGCTTATGAGCCCTTGGAAGCTCCAGAAAGATAAATATTTACATTGGAATACATCCGTCGAGTGCTAGAGTTCAAGGATAATGGAAATTTTTCTTCACAAAAGTTCGGCAAAAGTGTTCAAAATAGATTTCGCAGAATGAAACATTAAAGATATATTTATCGATTTTGACACTACATGGAAAACATGGGAACTGCCCGAGAAAAATGCTAAGCCATCGCCACATATGTTTGGAACATGTGACTAGATCGAGAGATCTAAATAGAACGGTGCGTGACCTGGATATCAAACGTTGGGGTCTTGAAAACACTTGTGTGCTGAACTTGACAGATTTTAAAGCATCTGACTCATGCATTCTTGAATTGAAAAAATAACATTGTCTCAAGAAGAGTTACCAATTTAATCACTCATCGCCAATATAGAGACAAGGAGGAAAATGAAATTGCAGCAAAAGCATTTTTGGTCGAAATATCCGACAATATCATACCTCGTGTTGACGCGGATTTTCAACACGGACCAATATGGTTTCAACAATGAGATCCATCGAGAAAGAACCTTGTCACATCGTGGTGTGCGCTCAACAAATGTAGTTGTGGAAAATAAAAATTCACCAACACATTCATACAGGATTCAACCGCTAATTAATATGAAAGGCGGGTTGCTATCTCCACTCATGGTTGTCCTACAGGAAAATCAAGGTCAATTTGGTCCTCAAGTTTCGGCTTCACTCTTCAAAGCAAGCAATGTTCATGCAATGTGTTCGCGTTCTGTTGAAGTGGCGAAGAACATTCTAAAAAGTTGGGCACAGAATTGTTTATTACCTAATATATGTGAAGTTGCTGAAAATTGCCTAATACTTGATTCCTATTCAGGTCAACAGACTGTAACAAATAAATTAATCACTTTATTGGTTTTTCATTACTTGCAAGTTTGCATTTTAAATTATGAATATTTAGTTGAGCTTGGCAAGTCAATTATTAGTTATTATTATTATTAATAGTTAATTAAACTATTAATTGTAATATCTTTGCAATTAACTTAATGAAAGTTAACATTTGAATTAGTAATTATACAAGAATCGATAAGGAGAGCTAAAAAGAGCTGAATAGAATTTAGTATAAAAGGAGTTTCTCTAACTTGTGCTAGCACACTGTTCCAGAGATGGCTGCTTGAGAAAGAGGAGAAAGAGACAAAGAAAGAGGAGAAAGAGAAGCAAGTTAAAGATGAAGGTGAAGATGAAGGTGAAGATGAAGGTCAATGTGTGCTAGCACACTTTTGGAGAAAAAGCTTCTTTGGGAAAGAGAAGAAAGAGAATTAAGATGAATGTGAAGATCAATTAAGGTGAATGCTTGAAATTCCATCATAATGATTTCCAAAGAAATAAGGCAATGATAAAATTACTGATAACTATTATGTGTTTCAGCTTTCTATGCAATAAAAGTTACAAAAAACAATTTTCTATTTTTAGTAGTCAATTAATCAATGATCAATTAGTGAACAACTTTGACTGGCCAATTTTTAAAAAGAGGCAGACCTTAAAATCAACTCATAATCATTGAATGATACTCAAAAGATTATTTTGAGGCGGAGTTGCTAATCTCCACCCACTTTACAATGGAATAAAAGTCGAGAAAATTGCTTGAAAACTTCATTCAATAACCTTTCTAAGTTAATTTCAGTAAAGAAAATCTCGAAATTTGAATACAACAATGAGTGAATCAACTGTGAGTGAAGAGGAAAGGCGAGCAATTGAGCAATTCAGAATTGTCTTACGTGAAGCTTTAGAGGCTAGTCCAATGAATAATTATTATGACAGAGTACACGTTTTATTGTACAATAGACAAGCTCTGTTGAGAGAATGGATTGAGATTTCAACTATGAACGTGCTGCAAGCAATTGCTAATCATCAAGAGGCGCAATCTGAAAATCAACAAGAGGAACAACAACCATCAGGTGAAATGTCAGATACATTAACAAGGCATTTGAGAACTTACATTAGAAAAAGAGTGACTAACCAATCAATGAGAGGTAGAATTACAAGAAATCGAGAATGGGGACTTGGATTAACACTTTTAGATCGAGATAATCAAATACAATTATTCATCCCACTGGAAAGAGTTCTTGATGCTGAGCAAGCTGATGATGCGGAGGAAGAAGAAGTAAGTGACACTGAATCAAGTGAATATGAGGAACCTGTTAATCAAAATGTGAGAAATTCAACACCAAATGATAATTACAGAGAAATTTTAGTAAATGAAATGGAAAGTGAAGGCAAAATTGAAAGTGACATCAATGAACGTGATACTGAGGAAGGTTCAGAAGAAACTGAGCGTTTAATATATCGAACAAGACTTGAAGAGAGACTTGCAAATCTTTACTTCTAAGAACAGCAAACTTTGTTCGACTTTCTGATCTTTCAAGGATGGCAATGGCTTTTCCAGACATGAAGTCAAAGGATGCAAGGATTGCAACTTTTGCAAGTCATGATGGACATGTAATTAAGGAAATAACCCCAGAAAAATATGCAGAAGCGGGTTTCTTTTCTTACGGTAACTTGAATTCTTATACTAATGAACATTTTGTCAAATTTCAAATATTAACTTACTTGTCTTAATTTCTTATTTAAATTTAGGTCAACATGATGCAGTAACATGTTACTATTGCGCTGGAACAATAGCAAATTGGCTACCAAACGATGATCCTTGGAATATTCATGCACATCTTTTTCCGGATTGTATGTTTGTCTATTTGAAAAGAGGCAAAAACTTCATCAATTTACAAGTTGCTAGAATTCAACCTGTTTCTTCTTATGAACCAGCAAAACCAGTCGATGATGACAAATCACGTTATGAGTGTAAAATTTGCTTTTCCGCTGAAATAAGTGTAGTTTTTAAACCATGTGAGCACATGATTACTTGTTATGATTGTGCACCTCAATTCAATAAATGTCCTTGGTGTAAAGCAACAGTTTTGACTGCTGTAAGATGTATTGTATCAACCTAATACTTGTGTTTTATGTTTTTGTCATTAAAAATGTTAAACGTCACTTTTCTTGTTTATTTTTGTCCGCGTATATAAATTGAAATCTTCAAAGAAAATATCTCATTTAGTTTTTTGTTATTAATGAGTCAAGATGACCCCGATTTACATAACAATTTTATTATTTGTTGCTCTACTATTTACACTTTTTGGACTTTTTATTTAATGTCCCTCAGTAAAAATTAACCATCAGTGCTGAAGTTAGCGGAATGAAAATTAGAAACTTAGTCTCGGTTTAGGATTTCGCCAAAGTAATGAAAATAAAAGTGAATAATGAAAACCGAAAGAAAAACTACAATGCTCAAGTTAAACGCTTGAATAATGGCTGCTTTTTACTTTTTTGCATCAGGAAAATGTGTTGCAACTGGTTTCAAATCATTGAAGAAACAAATGATGCGTTTGCTGCGAATTTTAAACAAAAACCAAACTTTATAAAAATTTCAAACATCACTGCTCAAGATAAAATGCAATATCGCTTCAATTTTTATGAAATGTTGAAAAATCACAAAAATACTTCTTATGAACCTGAATTATTCCCTGCTTTATATTGGAAAGAGGGTAAAAACGGTATAATTTGCTACGACAGTGGCTCTTTTATAATAACAGGTGCAACTTGGCCAAATGAACCGATTCTGCGCAATTTTTTTGATGCAACAAAATTGTATAAAAAGAAGTGATAGTGTTGTGAAGGTCAGTTTCAAGTACATTATTGTTTTCTACAGGTCTTTAAATGCAAGTGAAAAGCAAGATAATGTCATTAACTTGGAAAACAATTTTACCAATTGCTGTGGACTCTAGTTTGAAAATATCGTTAGGTTTAGGTTACAAGCCCGATAATGATTTCGTTTGTGCTCGCTTCAACATACGTCGATATGTTCAAAATTTCCCAACACAAAACAGAGTAGTAGTCGCTGCCAACGAACTCAAAGTCATCTACAATTATTTCAAAGAAGTTGCTGCTGATAATTGCCAAAAAGATGTGAAATACGGTGCTTTAATGGTATCTCGACCAACGTATGATGAGATTCGTGTTCAAAAAAGTGAAAAACTTCATCAAGAGAATCGTTGATAATTATCGTCATCATGCAGAGAAAATAATCAATAACGTTTTGACTCCACTTGACATCATCGATTACTTTGCTAAGGATAAATTTTTGAACAGAGTTACTTACACAAACTCATTAGATGTCCATCATGCAATTGAAATTATGAATGATAAAGAATACAAATCTTTGTTATTGTGTTTACCTCAACTAATAACTCGCTTTAATGTTGATTTTTAGTTCAAGTATTCAATTTCGCAAGACAACAGAGGGCGTTCAAGTCAAAGTGAAAATGTATATAAAGCAGTGAAAATTTCATTTCTCCATACTTCAAAGTTGATTCCAAAATGGACTACATTTGTGCTTATTTTGATGTTCAAGGCTTTTATTCTTCTTCAGTATTTTATCCAAGAGAAGTTGCTATTCTTGATGAAAAAAGTTTATTACATTTATCAATTAACGATGAGTTATCAGTTCAAAAACTATCACTTCATGAACAAAAGTGTGCAATATACTTATCAAACACACACCATGGACTTGATTTGAGTGCTGCTAAAAAGAACGGAGTAACTATCGATGAGATGATGACTACGATCAAGACATTTTACCAGAGTGCCCGTAACAGTGACAAATTTTTAGTTACTTGCAAGTCTATTGAAGCTGAAAGAATACTTCGTGAGCTTGATATTCCGAGGATAAACATTTTGTATTATGGCGGAACAAGCAAAGAGATTGACGATGGAACACAATATCCTTGTCATTTACATTTACTTCTCAAGAAACCAAAGACCAAATGTTCTCTAAATATTGTTATTATGATGAAAAAATGGTATCAATCTCGAAGATTCAATATTTGTAACTGCACAAAGAAATTCATGCAAACAAATGTATAAGAAATCAATTCATCAACAATTAATAAATTTTTTTGAAATCTTAAAATGTCTTTTCAAGTTTATTTAAAACATCCTTTCACAATGTTAGTTTCAGGCCCAACCGGATCAGGAAAAACGGTTTAGTAAAAAAACTGATTGAAAATAATGCTTTATTCTGTCTTCCAGCTCCTCAACGAATTGTTTATTGTTATGGAGAGTATCAACCTATTTTCGCTACATTCAAAAAAACAACATTTATGCCAGGATTACCAGAAAATATCATGGAAATGTTTGACGGTAGTAAGCCTGAATGGTTGATTATTGATGACCTCATGCTTGAAACAGCAAATTCAAAAGTGATAAGTGAGATCTTCACTAAAGGATCTCACCATAGAAACTTATCAATAATATTAATAGTTCAGAATTTTTTTATGCGTGGTAAAGAAAGCAGAAACATTTCATTAAACTCACAATATATTGTTTTGTTCAAAAACCCTCGTGATCAATCTATTGCTACAAATATTGCCCGACAAATGTTTCCTACAAAGATTAAAAAATTTCAAGCAATTTTCGAAGATGCAACTAAGGAGCCCTTTTCATATTTATTCATTGACTTAAAACCTAACACTCCACCTAATCTACGACTGTACACAAGCATTCTTGGTGAAAAAGAATATATGATTTCTTATCAACCTTGATTTATTATATAAGAAACTTTGTAAAATAAAGTGCATCTTTTGATAATCATGAGTGTTAAACATGTGCCCGTTGTCTTCCATGGCTAAAAAAACTAGCTGAAACACGCAGTAAATTGCCCGAAAGCCGTTTTTCAAACTTGCTCCCAGAAAAGTACTAAAATCGATAAGAGAGATTATAATAAATATTGTCAACGGAAAAATCAAACTTAGTGACCCTCAAAAAAGATTACTTAAGCTTTATAAGAATGATTTACGTCGATTGGCAAACAATAATTACACTGACCGAAAACACAAATATATTTTGATTCAAAAAGGTGGGTTTTTACCAAAGCTTTCATTACCAATAGCTTATTAGCCTCTACACTCGTTGAAAAATTCCTGAAATGAATACAGTAACTCGTTTGGTATTGATCCCTGAAGATGAATTCCTACGACTCAAGAATCAAAGAGTTGATATGACTGATAGGATTATTCACTCAAATTTGCCTGATACAATGAAAATTGCATAATCAAATGAAATTGACCAGCTGAAAGCAGAAACACAAAACAAAATTTTACAAAGTAGCGTAGGAAATGTAATTACAGAAAAGAGTGCAGTTGAAATTCCAAACAACATACTCGACCATATGGAAGTACGTGAAGTAACGACAAAGGAAACCAGAAACTCAAAAAGCCCAAAAGTGGAAAGGATGAATGAAATAAAATTGATTATGAGGTCAATGGATTTTCTAATTGATGAAAATGGGGCGATTCTAAATGATAAAAATAAGCCAATAATTGGAAGTGACATTGATGAAATTGTTGGATTCTTCTCTAAGAAATTAGCAAGAAAGAGACCAATCGGTATGAAAAGAGTGCTTGAAGTTATAAAAGAACATGAAATACCTATTGCTAATTTAATTGCGAATAAAAGCATCAAAGACTCATTAACAAAGAAAGAGAAAAATCCATCATGGGAGATACTATCGAGGAGCTTTTAGAGTCAATTTATTTTGATCCAAAATCTGAAGGTAGTTTCGGAGGTCTCAAAAAGCTTTATAATGCCGCAATTAAAAAAGACTTGGCTTCGCTTATGCTGACTGTCAAAATAAATACAATGATGTTCTAGACGGGAACTACTTGTTATGTTCTGCAAATAGTGTACCAACATTAGGTACTCGCTCTCATTTGCTTTTCGTTTACACTGATATTATTCATGATCATTTGGTTGGGGATGGTAAATCACGTCTCCTGAAGGTAGTGCCAATAACGAAAGGAATGTACGATAAAATTGGATACATGTCAATAACGAAACCTTTTTTATTATTCTGTGCGTGTTCGCGAATTGAAATAGTATTAGTATTTTTACTGAACCAACGCGTTGAGAATGCAAAAGAGTACCTTGAAAATATCAAAAAAGGATACATAAGGACTGCTGATCAAATAATCAAACTCATTGATGATCTTTACTATCGCAACTAAAATTTTCACAAAGAAAAACTATTCTTGAGTGTTTTTTCATAACCAATAATAATAATAAACCAATTTTCATTCATTTTACTGATTGGGTAAAGTTTCTTAAAGTGTTTTAAAAGTTTATCAAAAGTTTGTTAAAGTTTAGAAAAGTTTGACTAAGTTGATAAAAGTTTGGTAAAGTTGATCAAAAGTTTGGTAAAGTTGGTCAAAAGATTGGTAAAGTTATGAAATGTTTGTCAAAGTTGAGCGAAAGTTCAGTAAAGTTGAGTAAAAGTCCGGCAAAGTTGAGTAAAATGTTCGAAAAGTTGAGTAAAATGTTCGAAAAGTTGAGAAAAGTTGTGCGTTATTTGATAGATTTGTTTAAAAGTTGAAAGAAATTGAGTAAATTGGAGAGAAATATGCAGAAAATATCAAGAAATGAGTGCAGATAAGCGAAAGAGATGAGAAAAGATGAATAGAAAGAAAGAGAAGAGAAAGAAAGACAAAAAAAGCGAAGAAAAGAGAAAGAAAATAAGAAAATGATGAAGAGATTAAGAGATGAAGAGATGAAGAGATGAATGAAGAGAAAGAAAGAGAAATATTTATTGATAAATATCAAGTTTTAGCTCTCTAACCCTCACATCACTCGAAGAGCCC